ATGCAGTCAAAATATAACACGATGGGCGCTACCACTCTCTTATACCGGAAACTAAGTATTACTCACATATTTAATTTATGTTAATCCGTACTTGTCTTATCGAATTAGAAAAAATTACAAAGAAAAAGTAAAACTCTTCACAGCCTTTTCACATAACTAAGGTCGATTTAGTTCATCATGATTACTTTACAAAAATCATCATTTTTTTCATGTTTCGTAAAAAAAAACAAGAAAAAAACATGTGTGTTTTCGAGGATGCGCAACTTGTAATGCTACTGTATTTTCAACATTCTGTGAATAAAAAATGCAATGTTAATACATTTTTTTTGTAGAGAAAATATTACTTTTAAGAGTGTGGCGCGTGGTACCGGCTGGGCAGGTAGCTTTATTCCATGATAGGAACCCCGGACAGGTCCGAAATTAATAAGGCATCCCCGAAATACACGAGTTTACTATACCTAAAATGTCTAAATCCGACAGCTATGATCAACACATTTTTTTAAATTTCATTACGCATGCCATTACAGAACAAGACTTGACGAGTAGTTTTCGCTTAAATTGCTTCATCCGTACAGAGGGCCTAGTGTGCGTTTATTTCACATGCCTTGAACTATTCACCAAACGCAATGTCAGACGCAGTCACCGTCGAGACCGAATTGATGTGAAATAAACTCACACCACGCCCTCTGATTTAAGTTTTTACACACAAAATTCAATTCAACCTATATTCTTATACATTCATTTCATTATTTACTTATAACTATTAAAAATAGTTAATTTTATAGAAGCGCCCGCTCCTACAGAATGCAAAATATATACCTAATGCTAATACAATATAACAATCATCTCACTCTTGTTTCTTGTCAATATTTTTACACCATATGTGATTTGTAACCGCAAGAAATTTATACAATGATACCCTGCTAAAGGAAAAGTCGAGTCTTCGATATTTAAAGAAACGTGTGAATGTAGGTTACTTGTTTTCATGCTTTCAATCAGTTTCGACAATCATGAGAAAAGACATAATTAATTACATCCCAAAAAAAAAAAGTTACTGTGGGTACCTGAATATTTTGATAATTAAATAGCAAAGCTTGCTTATAATAAAATAACGTGTAATTCAGGTCGTACAATGTTAATCAAATACTTAGATCTTGCGTCTGTTTTGGTTGCGTATCGTGGTCGGGTTAGAGAGATGTTGAATTTAACCATACTTAAAGTGCTGAGTACCTTGTCTTAGACTGGTCAGATCAGACAGGTAGATATTTTTCTTTTTACACTAAATTACAAGGCAGTCGTTACTCATAGTCGAAGACCCGTCTCTTTCGTAGCGGGGCAGAATGACATACTATTAATAATGTTTATAACCGTGTTAATAGAAATTGAGGGTAGATATAAATATTTTATTTCAGATAGCGTTTAAGATAAAAATCATTACCATTCAGAGTTACAAGTAGCTTTTTTTATGGAAGAGGGTGCAAAAGAGCAGGGGGGTCACCCGATGGAAAGTGACCACCGCCACCCATGGACGCCTGAAACTCGGAGTCGCAAGCGTGTTTCCTTTACAGGAGTTCGCTCAGGTTTGAAGATCGTATCCAATTAGCCTATTCCAAACCCGAGTTTGCCTTTAGAATGATGCCCGCATTTCCCCCTCAGTTTCTAACTAACAAAATATTCAATCAATTGACAGTAATTTTAAAACTAATACAAAATTATGTTACCTAATCATTATCACTATAATATATTTATGTGTTGCCATGTTCAATAAACATTTCCCACTCTTATTTACACACAGGAACAAATACATATGAGAGAGCTAAAAAATCTTATTTTTATATAAGCTATATCACAAAAATTATAAGGCATGCCAAAGCTGAGACATTGTTGGACCACTAAATACAATAACAAGTAACCTGGAACATTTTACACAGTGACGTCTCTAGACCAAAACTAGCGTGGGCTCTAGAAACACGGATTTAATATTATACATAATAGGATTTATTGTAAATACATTTTTACATATATACAGGAATATAAAAAGTAACGCAAATAATCGTTCATGTATTGATACTGAGCGAGAGTTAATCTTGGTCCCCCCAAGGGGGTCCCCCCTTGTGATAGTCGCATTCACTGCTGAAACTATGGAGATCGAGGATCGGGATCTACGTAAAGAAGATTCTGTCAAATTGAACTTGGTAAGGAGGCTCTGACACCGTCATCATAACACGACGTTACCCTCCTTGTAAAAAGGGTACCCAAGTGAACAGTTTTTGCAATAATTAACATTAAATAATTGAATTGTTCATTGCGTCAAATATTAATCGACAGAAGTATTATTCTGGTAATCATATCGTTTATATCATCCATACTAATATTATAAATGCCAAAAAGTGTGTCTGTCTGTCTATCTGTATGTTACCCCTTCACGCTTAAACAGGTGCACCGATTATTAGATGAAATTGGGTATAGAGATAGTTTGAGTCCCGTGAAAGAAAATAGGACAGTTTTTTTTATCCCAGAAATCACCCTTTAAGGTAGTGAAAAAGGGGGTGGAAGTTTTTTATGGGGAATCAATTACCGCTGAAACGATTCCGATGAAATTTGGTATGGAGATACTTTGTTTCTTGAGAAAGGACATAAGATACTTTTTACCGCGATAACCGACATAAAGGCGGGCGGAGCCGCGGGCAAAAGCTAGGTCTATTTAAGATTGAGGTTACATTGATTCAACATCCTTCTCAACCTTGAGCTTTCAACTAAAAGAATACATGTTATCATTTACTAATTAAATAATTAATTTAAGGCACATATATTTAAACTCTATTTCAGTTACAAATATCAACAAACTGATATTAACAGACACAACTATCAGTCAACAATTGAGTGACTATCCTGACACAATTAAGTAACTATTGTTCAACAAAAGATCAACTATCAGTTAACAATCCAGCAATGTCACATCCTTTTGACATGCCTCATGTACATGACATCCTTAAAAAAATATAACCAACTATTCTATTTCGATTTTTGACTTTCATACCAGTAAGCATATTAAACGCTCTTTCTGGTGACTTATGATTAACAGCCTAGCTTTACAAATTTCTTTAAAATAACCATCTATATTGAATGTTTTATGGATCTATAGATAAACAGATTGGTTATATCCTAAGACAAATATCAAATTGAAGGTATTACAGGAAGGTGTACTCATATTTCTGGGGTCGTGCTTTTTTTTTTGGAATTTAATGACCTGGTAACTAAGACCTTTAAGTCAAGCTAGGGTCGTGATAATAGACCCAGCCAGTGCTGGAAAACTAAAAAATTTAGAGAAAAATATTTGATATGAATTTTACAATTTGTGTATAAAATTATGTTTGAAATATTAAGGATTGTCATAGAATATCGAGATGTGTACAGAATTACCCATATTTTTATGGAAAAATGAATAAACTGTTCTTTAAAACTTAACTACATAACAAAGAAGTTCAATCTGGTCCGGAAGTCTGGTCGAGATATTCAAACGCCAGGGCCTCAATTCTGATATTTTATGTTAACGTACAAATCACTGTCATTTCATTGACACTCTATTGAGAAACCATTGAGATGCTATTGCCATTAGTCAAAATATCGGTATTCTACTAACATAAATTCAGTGTCAATAGACTGTCCATGTAGTAACGGTGATGTTAACAACATTGTCATATCTGGAAAATTAAATGTCATAATTTTCTTACAAATTTAAATGTACCGTTTAGCAAACTATTACAAAGACATCGACGACATTTGTATCAGTGGCAGTGCAGTAACAAGTCATCAGGGGCCATTGGTCTCACATAGTTAGTAGAATATGGAAAAGTGCAAAACTATTCGACGACAGTCCATCAACTGTCTCTAGATACAATATTAAAATAGCAGAATTGACGTCCAGGTGATCTCCACCTAGCAATTTAGTTAAGATTTTCTTTTCCAATGACTGTTTTGTTCACTCAACATAATTATTTTCTTATAGAAATTGGTATAGCATGGCTCTATAATCTCACTAACTAATAACTATATACAAAACTAATTAACTAATACTTACTAAAAGTAATTACACAAAAAAAGAGTTGAATTTGAAAAGTGTGTAGGGGTTGTTGATAATGATAGCTATAGCAGGCCTTATTTGTATAAAAATAGGGCTCTATTTACCGTAGGAATTAAAATAAAACATATATGATTACTGTAAGCGTAAACTATAAAAGTGATAAAGATAATGACTTAGTTTGATAAGGTTATATTAACTTGGTATACTACGGAGTGTCACCACTCCTATTCATCCCGTGGGTGTTGTTAAAGCCAACTAAGGCAACACTAAATAGGACAACAGTAAACTTAACACAAACCCTATACCAACCCATCTGGTCAGCATGATACAGTAGGCCAAAAACTCCTTTCTAAGGAGAGGCCTATGTCCAGCAGTGGACTAATAAAGGCTGTTGATAATGATGATTTTAACTTAAGTATCACTGATTTCAATGCACCTATGTGATGACTTGTAATAACCTGTGTTCTTTATTTTTGAATGTTCCCTCTTAGGGTTTGAATTGTTTCTTAAAATTTAAATTCCAAACGGAAAGGATAAAAATATATATTTCACAAATGACAAAGGTAACAAAAAAAATACATTCAGCTAATTTGAGAACCTCTTTTTTTTAAGTCGGTCAAAAATTTTGTAGGTTTGAGAAAAAATGGTTTTAGTTAATTTAATTTTTAAACATCTGAGCTGTAGGCTGTAATATATAGCTTTCGCCCGGGGCTCTACTCGCCTAAAAGTTGTTTGTTTTCCCTGAAAACTGATTTTTCTTGGATGAATCCGTTTATGTGCCCCTAGCACTGTTTATGTAAAAAATTTACAACAATAGATTAAGTAGTACAACCTACTGAACTGATGATCATAATGTTCCCTCCAACAGCCCTACATCACCTTTCGTCATCTCATACAATGTTCAAAACTTATAAAACTATGACTCTGCAACATTACCTTCTGAACTATCCTTCACTTCACACACAGTATCTTTTTTAACACACAAATTAATTGATTCCACATAATCAGTTTCCTTCATCAAATTCACACCCTGATCTTCTTCAAACATCTCCGTATACTCCTGACCATGTTTGAACTGCATATGTTTTTCCATGCTAGATTTCTGAACACACCTATACGCACAGAGGGGACACTTCACTGTTTTCTGACGAGGCCTGTACGGCTTTAATTGATTCCTAACTTCCACCTTATCACCGTCTTTTTCATTCAGATGCCTCAATTTGTGTTTTGTCAAATTAGTTTTCTGAACGCACCTATAACTGCACATATCACAGCTAAAAGGTTTTTGATCTGTGTGTAAATACATGTGTTTTACTAAATTTGGTTTTTGAACGGTCCTGTAGTCACAGAACGGACAGGCAAAAGGCTTGTATCCAGTATGTGTTCTTTCATGGACAACTAGATTATTTTTTTGTGCACACCTGTAGTCGCAGTACTGACATCTAAATGGTTTTTCTTTCATATGAACGAGAATGTGTTTCGCTACGTTATTTTTTTGACCAGATTTGTAATCGCAGAATGTACATGAGAATGGCTTTTCGCCCGAATGTGTGCGTTCGTGTATTTTCAAGATGGCGGGCGATTGACACCGATAAGCGCATTGGCTACAACTGAATTTCCCTATCTTTTCTACCAATTGTTCGTTTTCTGTACAGCTTTTGGAATGGTGTTTTAAACCTCTTTTGGATGGGAATACTTCATTGCACTTGTAACAGATATACTGTCCTTTTATATTCATGGAAATATCTTCAGAAATTTTATTAGGTACGCCAGCATCGTTTTCACTTTTCGATTCTGAATAAGTAGGATTATACTCCGCATAGTAAATTTTATTCTGATCTGTAGGTTTTAAATTCTCCTTTGGCTGTTCAACTTTTTCTTTCGCGCCATTTTGTTGTCCGCCACTATGTCCGTCGCCATCTTGTCGTAGCTTTTTAAAATCTTCTTGGTACGGACTGTTGTTGTCAAACTGTCTGTGAACTACTAAATTTTGTGGGTTTTCTCGAATGTTTGTGAAGTTTTGTGCGTAGTTCTGGGATCTTGAGTATAGGTCTATGGAGTTAAGTGCTGGAAGATTAACGTGAACATTATAGGGGTACATTTGATTGTCTGTATGTACTGAAGGCTGGGGTTGCGGGTGCTCTGGTGGTAATCCTGAAAAGAAAAATATCTTCTTTATTTATGTATACTTATCATACCATGTGAATCATACATCGTTTTATTGAACAATTTGTTATCTCAAACCGGTTTTAATCAAATTCTTTCATTCAGAATTGTAGTTTTCTTTGTTATATAATTCGTGAAAGTTGCTCGTTGCTAAGTGGTAACCGCCAGGTCAGTCTATAGATGGGTGACCATTTCTTAACTCATTGAGACCCCTAAGTTAATCGAAGAGTACGTTAAGACGTCGGTCCCGGTTGCCATCCGAATATCTGCGGCAATCGTTACAACAGTCTTCCTACAGATCTTTTATATCACCTAGTACTGGGATTGTGGACATCTGATGGGCTTCGCGTAAAAAATCGAAGTTCAGCCATATCGTAGTAGACTTAAAGCCGACCCCAACATGGTTTAAGAAAAAGGCTAGGAGGAAAAAAAGGAAGAATTATTTGTGACAGTTGCGAGCGTAAGGTGAATCTGACGTTACATGCATGAAATATGAATTAGCGGTGTATTGGTGACGGATTAAGAATACGGAATGTCACCACCCCTATTCATCCCGTGGGTGTCGTAAGAGCCGTCTTCGGGCGGAGGGCGAAATCCGCTCTCCGCCCGGGAGTCAGCCACTCGCCGATAAACTTCGGCGAGCACTTCCGCCTCCAAATACCACGGGGGAGTTCCGGCCAACGCGCACGCCACCTCCGTCGAAACGGTGCGGTAACCGCGTATGGCTCTGACCGCCATTACCCTCTGAGGGCGCCAGAGGCGTGCCCTATTCTGGGCGGTCAGAGCCGCCGCCCACACCGGTGCACCGTATAGTGCCATTGACCGGACAACCCCCGTGTACAGCCGTCTTGTCGCGACGCTGGGTCCACCCAAATTGGGCAAAAGTCGCCCTAGGGCAGACGCAGCGATGAAACAAACCCCTTTTTTTTTAAAAAAAAACGTGTGGAAATCCCCTCGGACCGTCACCCCACCGGGGTTTGCGGCGGGGTGGGGTGTCGGACTCGAACCGACTAAAACCACACGGTGTGCCCTCTTTGCGCTTCCAGTTTAGGAGGGGTCCAGGTAGTTATCGCCTTCTGGACCCCTCCCAGCGCCGGCCCGCTCCTGGTGCGGGCTCCGTCTCCAATTATCCTCTATTTAGGCGACGTCCGCCACACGCGGACGCCGCCCCCTCGCGACTAGCCAACTAATGCGGGTGGAGGGGAGAACCCATCCCGTCCTCCCGCGGCCACACTCCATGAAACAAATCCTATACCAACCCGTCTGGCCACTGGCCAGTGGCCAGCGTGATATAGTAGGCCAAAACCTCCTTTCTAAGGAGAGGCGTATGTGAAGCAGTGGACTATTAAAGGCTGTTGATGTGATGATGATGATGTTTACATATCTGCTTATTGCGAAACTAGATGGCGTTGTGTGCCAGATGTCCGAAAATTTTGTTATTATACACGTAGGCCACAGACATGACCCTCCAATTATAGCTGAATACCTTGATCTTTAATATGTGCAACGACGGAAAAATATTTAACACGAAAAGAATTTGTTTATCTGTAATTTTATAACATACTAGCCAATGCCCGCGACTTTCGTATGTGAGTAAAAAAATAGCCTTTTTTTTAAAGACAACTCCCACATTAGGAATACATCCTGTGTCGCGAGGGACTTTACAAACATACATGGAACGAAAACAAAGAACACCCAGGCTCAGAACAACAATTTGTGGATCACACAGTGTTGTCACCCACGACACTCAGCGTAGTAGGAAGCCGTGTGGCGACCGCTTGCTGTGTGGCTACAGTATCATATCCTTTGATAGTCTACTGCTCGACATAGGCCTCTCCTTAGAAAGAAGGTTTTGACTTATTACACCACGCTGGCCATACAGGTTGGAATAGGGATTGTTTTGTTTTCCTTTTCTTTGCAGCGCTGTTATCCTGAATAGTTTGCTCCCTTAGTCGACTCTTACGATTCCCAAGGGATGAATAGGAGTGGTGACACTACGTATTCAAAAATCCGTCACCACACGGACATGTATGACAGGGACACGGCTTGTAAAAATATGTGAAAAGATTTACTTACAGATGTAAACATCGTTTATCACGACATGGATGTATATATTTATGTATTTATTCTATGTTTTCGACTAAGTGATGCTGTGATCATCTAGACATTTAAAATCAAGGCCCTCAAAATCACAAAGAACAGACGAAAGCTAGAAATCAAGTGATATTAAAACCTGTCGTACATGACCTTTAAGTTATCCTTAAATAAGTCGAGGTTGAATGTCAACTTTTATCTAAAAGCGATATCAAACAGTCTGTCACCGTTACTATGGCAGATTTTGGCATCTTAATATTGTGGTTTCTTTCCTTAAGACAACTGTCGCAATAGGAATATATCCTGTGTCCCGTGGGAGGTTTAAAGAACACTCAGACTCAGAACAACAATGTGTGGATTACACAAAGTGTTGTCCCATGTGGGGATCGAACCCACAACTCTCAGCACAGTAGGAAGCGGGAGGTGATCGCTTAAACCACTACGCCATCCGTGCAGTCAAAGCAAATTGGCTTGTTGGTCTAGGTTTGGCATTCGACCGGGAAGCCGTCGACACGCAGTTCGAGCATATTATCATCGCGTAAATAATCTAGATAAAAATAAATGCATCGCAGGATGTCTTTTTTGCTTTTTTTTAAACATCTCCCGCATTAAGAAAATATCCTGTGTCGAGAGGGATATTACAAACATACATGAAACGAAATAAGGAACACCCAGACACATTAGCAACTTAGCGACTGCACGGATGGCGTAGTGGTGTAAGCGGTCGCCACGCCGCTTGCTACTACGCCGAGTGTTGTGGGTTCAAACCCCACATGGGACGACACTTTGTGTGATCCACAAATTGTTGTTCTGAGTCTGGGTGTTCTTTGTGTCCGTTTCATGTATGTTTGTAAAGTCCCCCGCGACACAGGATATACTTATTCCTAATGCGGGAGTTGTCTTTTAAAAAAAAAACCGAAAGCAATCAACAACCGAAACTCCTCTTGGCATTCTGATACGTTTCAATAAACGATTAAAATCGGATTAATCCGAAAAAAGTATAACATATTTTGTAACCAAACAGTCGCGTCAGATAATCACTGAATTATTTATGAAGAGATCTATTGATATAATATTTAAAAATGACCTTGAAAATGCATGAGCCATGATTGTGTTTGGATATACATATTTCAGAATGTGTATCATTTCTATTTATGGTAACAGGAATTAACGCGCCATTTCAACCAGGTCTGCCTTATTTTTTTACGTGTGGAAACCCCCTCGCGCCGTCACCCCACCGGGGTTTGCGGCGGGGTGGTGTGTCGGAATCGGACCGACTAAAACCACACGGTATGCCACTCTGCGCCTGTAATAGGAGGGATCCGGGAACTGCTGTTATTAAGACATCAAGACCAAACAGGTCTGCCTGTGACGGCCTATGACAACGGCCAGTGCAACCAGAAAGCCAATTCTCGTAATAAAAGTTCGATCGAAATTAACTTTCGATCAACTTTCGATATCACAACTGTCATAAAAGATATTTTCGTAGTAAAATAGTAAAGTATTACTAAGACTAGCAGATTACCGATTCAACTTTTTGGGTACAAAACGATATAATCCAAGCCAAAAAAATCTATAATAGAGGGATAAAATTTAACAGGCTTTATTGAAATTTATGGTCAAAATAAAAAATTATAGTCTAATTAGTGGGATTAGACCACCAGAATGTTAATTCTCGTCATAAAAGTTTGATCACAATTCAGTTCCGATCAACTGTCGATCTCACAACTATCATGAAAGGTATTTTCGTAGTAAAAGAGTAAAGTATTACTAAGACTAGCAGAATACCGATTCAATTTTCGGTCACAATACGATATAATCACATTACAGTCAACGTTGGATGTTTAATACTTTACTACGTAAATACCTTTTACGACAGTAGCGAGATCGAGATGACCAAACTTTAATTATGAGAATTTGAGAAAAAGTTTATAGGCTGGGAACAACCTATATATAATTTTTCTCAAATTTTGGGATCAAAAAAATATACAGTCACTCACCATTTAAATTTCCAACATCATTGATCCCTTGATTGATATTCTCATAAAAATAACCATCATCTTCTTGTTCAGCCTTTATATGAAACGGCATCGGCAATATATGTTCTTGTTGCTCCAACCTTTCCGGTGGCAAATTAGTATTCGCCATACGTTGGGCCAAACTTTGTTCCAGCATATGTGGATCACACTGCATTGGGGTCCTTCTAGATTCATCTTGGTTCAAAATCTGTTGTTCTCTATTTAAGTGTTGGGACAAATCAATCTCATGGCTCAAATCGTGAGGTAAGTCAACTCTCAAGTCATTGATACGATTTAGTTCAGCACTTAAATTTTCATTTAAATTCTGAGCAAGCTGGTTCAAATTGTTCTGTAATTCTAAATCATTTCCCAGACTTCTAACTAATGATATATCCAAATTTCTGCTAAAATTCTGACTGAGTATATCATCGTGCCTGTTCGGAGGCATGTCATTGGCTAAATTATGCACCAAATCCAGTTCGGTTGCTAAATTTCTGGGTAAGTGTGCTGGTATATCATTGAAGTTTAAATTTCTGGGCAAATGGTTTGTTTTGAGCATAAGAGAAGACATTTGTCTCGGTGATAATGGTAATTGGAAGTTGTGGACAATTGAGTTGGCCACTGTGGACTGCATAGCTTGGTGAAGCTGTTCCATGGAAATGGCTGGATGTTGGTAGTCTGCTGCATCCAGCTGGTGCGTTTTCTGGAGCTGTGGAGAGAAATTTAACTATCAATAAAGTGCAATAAATGGAATACTGTTATAACAAGAGTGTCAAATCAAGTTTTACTTAACACTGAGAGTTAATTTTAACCCCCAACCATCAAACCGATAAATGTTCCTGTGGCGACAGATTGCTATGAAATTAGACAAAATAATAATAATTACACTCAAGTCTATGTTATATACATCTGTAACTACCCTGAAGGAGTAGACAGAGGTGTATATAAAAATCCATGTTTTGCCTATCATAAGTCCAGTTCCATTGTCATATTAGTGCGCAAGCTCATATATTTTTCTAAATTAACATACAAATTCTTTTTCTTTTCTTTTTTTTTTTTTAAACAGATAACTCCCGCACTAGGAATAAATCCTGTGTCGCGGGGACTTTACAAACATACATGAAAAGGACACAAAGTACACCCAGATTCAGAACAACAATTTGTGGATCACACAAAGTGTCGTCCCATGTGGGGATCGGACCCACAACACTCAGCGTAGTAGTAAGCGGCGTGGCGACCGCTTAAACCACTACGCCATCCGTGCAGTCAGCCAATTCTAAATGAATTATACACAGACAGAACAAATGGTCATGCTCGTGACACAATATTTGAACTCAGTGGGAATCAAACCCACAAAGGCCGGTTTAATAGTCAAATCGCTAACAACTAGACAGACAGGCCAGTCTAAATGATATTATACAATAACGGACACAAATAATACTTTGACATATGACTATATGTCAAAGTTCTTAATTATTTATTCAAATAGATAAGGAATGCAAGTTGAACTTGTATCAAATGCATGTTTAACTAGAATCTCTTGTTTATAATGTGAAAACCACATTTGGTGTCTTCTTTACCACGAAACCTGTTCATAAATGCCAAATTGGTGTCTGAATTAACAAAACTGGTAACTTCATTTCAGTAATTTTTTCAAAACTAACTTTCGTAAAATTATTTTCAGAGAATTACTGCGCACTATTTTATTTTAATATTTACAGTGAATACTAGACAAGGAAATTATTGTTACTCTTAAATCATATTCATTTGATGAAATGATTAGTTTTAGTCAATGCATTTTCACATGTGATTGTGATTTTGTAATAGACAAAGAAAAATGCCATTAAAATCAATCACAATGCTTTTTTTTTAGATTTAGACCTTTAGCAAGCCTTTCACTAGCAGCATAATAATAATAATAGGTCGTAGATGTTTTATAAAGTAGTCACAGGAGTGATTATATGATTTTTCATATGTGATTGTGATGTTATTATATCCCTATCGAGTATGGTATGTAAGCCATGCTTCATCGAAATGAGCTCAACCAGTGTGATGACACTGCTTTTCACTGAGTGAGTGAGTGAGGTTACAAGAGCTCCAAATCTAATCACCCTAATTTTGCCCCTATGCTGTAAAAAAATGTACTCAAGGATTAGACATCACTACAATTAGCGCAATACTTTAGAAAAAAACTATTTAATAAATACCGCATACCGAGAATGCAGTTCTAACTGATAGGAGCACTTTTTCAAGGAGTGAAACATCCTAAGATGATGGTCTGGCATTGCATTGTCACTGTCACTAAAACTATATATCTCTAATAAATATAACTCCTCCCGAGTTATATGAGTGCAACAAGAAGCTTGGAAAGTGTAGGCTTTTTGATTTGAGCATTGTCCATGTGGTGATTAAGAATATGGACTGTCACCACCCTTATTCATCTCATGGACGTCATAAGAGACGACTAAGGGAGCAAACTACACAGGATAACAGCACTGCAAAGAGACGGAAAACTTGATACATACACTATACCAACTTGCTAGTCTGGCTAACATGGTATAGTAGGTCAAGACCTCTTTTCTAAGGAGAGGCCTATGTACAGCAGTGGACTTTTAAAGGCTGCTGACCATGATGATGAATGAGCACACACTGTACTAGAGTTTTCCATTGTCAAATGTTACACATCATATGCAACTAATGTTTTTTTATAGACCTATTTCTTGGAGTTACATGGATTCACCGTGTGGGTGACGGGTTCATTGCGTGAAAGATGAGGGCAACACATGTGACTGTGGCAGCACATGGGAATTGCGCTCACCTCCACTGTCTACTGTGTTACCCCATTTACCTAACCATATTTGACACGAGATTAGCAATGTGGCTTTGGATACTCATAGAAAAAAAGAGCTTACTGAAGAACTTATATAGTATATTATATTAAAGCTGGTACAGTTTTTTTTTATAAAGCCAGTTTCGGACTTTGTCAACAGCTTTTAATAGTCCACTGCTGGACATGGGCCTCTTCTTGGAAAGGAGGTTTTGGCCTATTGTACCAAGGTTTCCTTCTTTTTGAGGTGCTGGTGTCCTGCGTTGTTTTGCGCCCTTAGTCGGCTCTTACGACACCCACGGGATGAATTAAGGTAGTGATATTCCGGACGGACGTTTTAAGTTCATGGTGTGACTCACTCAGACCTCAGGACCAGAACAAAGACCTTGAACACAGTGAAACTACAGGAAATAGTAAGTATTAGAATAAAAGTACAGATTTAATATTGGAATTAGAGTAAATAAATACTTACTCTGCCTAAAGACTATAACATAGTCAAAATATTTATTTTTTACTGTTAAATACCAAGCACCGACATAACAATAATCTATGGAAACTTATTTGCTTGCACACGAAGCAAAATTAAATATAATAATAACCTAATATTAATTTGACACACCTTACACTGCCATAAGATACAAAATCCTGTGCTATAGTAACTCGCCTGCTGATAAACATACTTATACATAATTATACTTAATCTAAAATACTTCAGCGAGACCTGAAACCCGGATCTAAGCTTAGATAACGAACCATATTCTTGTAAAAAATACGTTTGTAATTTAAATTACACTATACAGACATAAATACTCACACTTTCGACATAAAACTTGTAATCTTCGTCGATAACATTTTGATCTTCCCTTTTAACAAAATCCATGATAAAAGGCAGCTATCTTGTAAATAAATGTTTTATTTCTTAGTTACTCTTCATTGCCAATACCTAACCTATCTTACTACACTTAATAATATAACTTAAAATATACACTAAAATATAGCATAAAAGCATAAATTACACTGGTAACCTACAATCACATTTTTATTAAACTAATGTACATGGAAAAATTATAAATATTTAATTAAAATGAATTTTGTATCCCTTTCTAGATTGTCCGAATGAAAGAAAGGAAGCTACATAGACAAGTAGAATTACCGTTGAGTTAAGTCAACCAAAGTCAACGAACATCTGTCGGGAGGGGATACAGTATCTGTATTTTATTTACCCACAAACGATAGTGATCATCAATAAATCGTATTTCGTAGCTTCAATTGACGGAGTTCAGTTAATTCGTAAACTGATAAATAGTTGTACTATATAATCTTTTTAATAGTAAAAAATCATAACTCACACATAAGCATGGTTAAATTTAATGACTAACTAACTTATGTTAAGCTTAGCTTACGGACAATTGGCAATGATTCATAATGAGTTTAATGAAATAGGGAAACTAATTTTTACATTTAGTACGAATTGAATGCTGAAATGTGCTCACGTCTTACAATTGTTCCAAATTAAAATGGGATTTTTTCAATGAGTTTTCTTCTTCGCATCGCATTGCAGACACTCCATTTCATTGCGAAATAGTTTAGGCTCTATATTGTTATGGCCGCCTACCTGATGTCATCTCTCCTTGGATTTTTTTTCCTTTTTTTATGGATGTGATTACCGTGCGACAAGTCAGTAGTGACAGGTGCGTTGATATCATCATCATCAATAGCCTTCACTAGTCTACTGCTGGACATAGGCCTCTTCTTGAAACGGAGGTTTTGATCTACTTTACCACGCTGCCCGAACAAAAAAAAAAAAATGTTACTATTTATTTTCATCAGGAACCACTCAGTTCCTCATATTCATCACTTTGAGGTACTCATTCAAGGCTAGTGAAGTTATATTGAGAGAGGGAGGACGTGTGTGAACTGTGAGGACCATCCTCGCTTTGTGGACTTATGTGATTATTTATAGCACACTGACTGATGTATCCAGAGCTGTTTCTCTTCTACCTCTTTATAGACAATGACGAAAAGTTTTTTTAATGGAAGGGGGGGGGGGGGGCCAACGAGCAAACGCTTTCATCAGTTCCTTCTCTTTGCTGTCTAGTTGTTCTTTTAAGTATGCTATCAAATCACTGAGCCCGTTTCGGTATTGTAGCTGTATCATTAAATCCAAAGATCTTTGATAATTTTAAACACTCAGGGCCTTTCCTTTTGTCGAACAATACAGCCTTACAGCAACTTTATTCAAATTTTAATTTTATATTATAGCCAAATTCCGCTTTAATTTAACTTTAACTAAGAAAGGTGCTTTAATTTAACTTTAACTAAATATTACAGTAATACACACATATCATACATAAATCGGGCTACATAAAATGATAATATTTTTAGACAAAATAGTGATGAAAAAATGTCGAAATAATAATAATAATAATATTTATTTATTTCCACAAATAATTTTACAGTAGCTACATAATTTTTACATTAGCTGTACAGGTCTCAAAGGAAGGTAGTGATCCCTGACTCTTAAACTAGGCATGGCCTGTATCTTAAGAGGCAGTGTTCAACCGAGATCTCATTTACTTGATTCTTGTAGTAATTGTTGCTATTGGTGGAAATGTTTAGACTTGGTTATTGAAGTGTGTGTGAAAGAGTATGTATGTGTGTGTGGGTGTGTGTGTATGTGTATGTTCATGTGTGTATGTGTTTGTTTGTGAGTTATGTTATGTAGGTCAAAAGAGCTTCTGTTTGTTCATAGTTTTGTTTCAGTGTGTGTGTGTTCCTGGATGTGTAGGTGTATGTATGAGGGTGTGTATAAGTGTGTGTGAATATGAGTTGCTGTGTGAGTTTCAGTTTAATGTAATGTTGTCAAGAGATTTTCTGTTTCGTCGTAGTCTAAGGCTAACAGCCATTTTGTCAGTTTGTTTTTTAATTCGAACTGAGTTTGGTATTGCAAGCCTACAGTGTAATTGATTTTATTGTAAATTTTGTATATAGAGATAGGTAGCTGACGTGAACAAAAAGTGGTTCTGTGAGGAGGTATATGGCAAAGCCTATTTGAGTTTCTTTTAGATCGATCTGGCAGGGGCACTTGGGGAAGAGTCCGTATAATTGCACGTAGTATGAAAAGTTGTCTTACAGTAAGGGTTTTTGAGATTGAATATAGTTCTCTTGTCGGGAATCTAAAGTTTTTGAAGTGGAGAACCTTAAGCACTGCTCTCTGCGCTCTTTCAATTTTCATAAAGTAGGTCTTGTTGGCACATCCCCATATTGGGATGCAGTAGGTTATGATGGATACACATAGAGCGGAGTATACCAAAAAAAGTGTTTCGGTGTCTGCAGAATGTCGGAGGGTTTTAAAGGTATGTATAAGGCGCCTGACTCTGGTGGTGAGCATGTCAATATGGTGGTGCCAGTTTAGATTGCAATCAATATAAATGCCTAGGTATTTTATATGGTCTGATTGGGATAAAGGCTGGCAGTTGCAGGTATTTGGTTGATTACAGTGTGAATGTACATATGTTTTGTAATTTGGTGGTGGTTGCGTAGAATTTCTAATGGTAAAAGGAATAATTTGTGTTTTAGATAGATTTAGAGATAAAAGATTATGTGAAAGCCAGTTATTTATAATTATAAGGTTTTTTTCAGCAATCGTTTTGACATGAGACCAATTTGAACCATGAACAACAATAGCTGTATCATCTGCATAAGTATAAATATTAGAGTTGGGAAGATTAATATCACACAGTTGGTTAATGTAAAGTAAAAACAGACTAGGACCGAGGATTGAACCCTGGGGAATGCCATATTCAATGCGTGCATAATTACTTTTTAGTCCATTTATTGTAATGCTTTGAAAACGGTTGTTAAGATAATCTTTGAAAATATCATACGTTATTCCTCTCACACCGACGTTGTAAAGTTTTTGGAGGAGGCTGGGTATATGAACTGTATCAAACGCCTTTTGTATGTCTAGAAAAATTCCTAGACACTTCTGTCCCTGGTCTAATTTTTTGGAGATGTGTTCAGCCAGGTTCGCGACTGCATCTTCCGTCGAAATACCGGATCGGAAGCCATATTGATGGTTGGAAATAATATTATTAGAGTTTAGAAAGTTTAAAAGTCTGTTATTAATTATTTTTTCAAGAACCTTTGACATAGTGGGCAAAACAGATATAGGTCTGTAGTTTTCAATGGAGCTCCGGTCCCCCTTTTTGTAAATGGGATGTACTAGAGCCTTTTTGAACGCATTTGGGAACACACCTGTACGGAGAGCGATGTTACAGATATGAGTAATGATAGGGACAAGGGATCCACTATTTGATTTAAGAATTATAGGTGAAATACCGTCCCAGCCGGTAGAAGAGTCAGATCGTAGCCCTCTGATAATAGCATCGACTTCCATGTTGTCTGTGTCGAGAATCACCATGGAATTCAAAATTTCAGTGTTAATTTTACTGGCCAGAGCTTTACCTATTTCTACGAAGTATTTGTTGATTGAGTTTAGTGCTGTTAAAGAGTCTATAGATTTATTTAATAACTCCAGGGGGGGGGTATGAGGTTTATCCATATTTGTGATGGTTTTTAAGGTCTTCCATGTAGCTTTAAGGTTATTTTTACATTTTAATAGTTCATTTTTTTCATGTAATCTTTTTAATTTACGTAAGAGTTGGTTGAGATAATTGCGATAGCGGGTGTAAGTTATTTTAAGAATTTGATTATTAGGAGAAACTTTAGCTTTTTTATGAAGACGGTCTCTATTTCGTATACATCGAAGTAGTCCTGCTGTAATCCAAGGTTTAAGTGTAATTTTTCGTCGCGACACCAAAGTTGTTTTGGAGTGTTTGGTAATAATAGAAGAGAGTGTTGAGATCAGGGCATCAGTGGCAAGATTTGCGTCCTCTGTTTGGAGAATATGTGACCAGTCGGTGTCGGATATATCGCGTTGGATATTTTTATGATCCATTATAACCTTAGAATGAGGTAGATGTCTTACACTTATTTTAAGCTGAAGGCTAAGTAGTATTGGCAAGTGGTCTGTTATATGGGTTTCTATAACAAGCGTGATAGACGGGAGATTAGATTTTAGTAAGATATGGTCATAGCATTTGTCTTCTCTAGTGGTAAAAACATGTGTAGGTGATAGGGCATGACTGGCGCATAGTAATAAATAACTATTTGATAAAATATCCGTATTTTGAGGCTTAATATCAATGTTTAGGTCGCCTAAGATAGCAATATGGCTAAAAGATTTTAAGCCACCCAGTACGTGGTTAAGGTTTTCTAGGAACATGTCATGATGTGGATGAGTGTTGTATGATGGTGATCTATAAATAGCTACGATCGCTATTTTACTGTCAATGACACAGGTAAGAGAAGCGGCATGATTGAATATAGGTTCTGTTATGGCATGAGGTAATGTTGAGTTAATGTAAATAATGACACCCGCGTTTTGGTTTAAATTCCTTGTGGATGCATAGTGAGTGTATCCTTGTAGTGACGGGATGTTTGTACACTTTGAGAGCCAGCACTCCGTCAGAACTATAACATCACAATTTACTCTGAGTTTGGTTAAAAAGACAGTTAGCTGGTCGAAGTTTTTGTTGACACTACGAATGTTTAGTTGAAAGATTCTTAGTGAGTTATGCTGGGCTGTTCCTATTAGACCATAGCATTCATCTGGTTCACATTTACGGGAATTTAGGCTATCTAAGGAGTCAAGTTCTGTATTAATATCAATTATAGAAGTCATTGTGGAAAACATTTATAAAACCAAGAAATGAGAACAAGTGAATATGCAGGGTTTTTGACAGGTAATGGCCTTTTGATGATCGTACCAGTAGAAATCTATGGCGGGGCTGTTTGTGATAAGTATTAGGTATGTTAAGTGGAATTTGTTTTATAAAGAGTGTGTATGATGTGTTGATCAGGTGAGAATGATGTTTAGTAACGTAAATAGTGTGTATTGTATATAAAATTAGAAGAACAAAGTTAAAACTAAAGTTACGCTTATAGGCGCAATTTAAAATTAAAAAGACGAGAAACAAAAATACTGTAAATGTTATTAAGAGAAAGCCCAGTCATTGTTTGAGGTCACGTAGAAATTGTTCCGATTTGACATGTATATGCTTCATTCCTGTCGTTTGTCGTAAGAAAACCTTTCCGTTTATGGACCGACAATATTCATATTTATAAAGTTTAGCAAACTCCCTTGCAAGGTGAAATAGCTTCTTGGTCGAAGAGGGCAGAAATTCCGCCACGTATACCGGCTGGGGATGCCCATGAATTCCTATCTGAGAAGTGTTTAAACGGCCATCGTGAGGTTTGTACTTATTAAATTTCTTTGTTGCTGTGAGAACCTTGTCTTTTTCCTGCACAGAGTTCAGTTCTACGACAATGGGCTTCTTAGTTCCAGGTTTGCCCGGAATACGGTATATGTCCCGTACTCCGCTGATCGGCATTTCCAAGACGTTGCTTAGTTGCGACACAAATCGGTTTAGGTCAGAGGTAGATTCTCCCTCCGTGATTGGAACGTTTCTGATTTCAATAGAGGAGTTACGGGAGATCTGTTGTATGTCAATAACTTTTTTTTCCAGTTCGCTGATAGTGTATAGGTATAGTTGTCTCTCAGTTTGTAAGGTTTCAATTTGCTTCTTCATGTCTTCATACTGCTTATTTATAAAGGCCATGGCTTTCTCTATTTCCATGTTAGATCTTTTGATTTCGAGATTCTGCTGTTTCACCTCTGCAATATCTGATGATAACTTAGAAATATTCTTACTTTGTTCCCTTAGAGTATGATTTAAATGATCCTGTTGCTCAACTTTCCAAGAAGTGAGTATCTCCTTAATTTCCTCCTTGAAGTCGAATAGATCACTGCCGGGAGAATGGGGCGGACGAGGTCTCTTAGAACGACTTTGTAGATAATTGTTAGAAAGTTCCGCTTGTGGCTTTGATTGGGTGAGATTTGGGTCGGATTTGGCTTGATTTTTTTTACCTTTTTTCGGTGAAAGCGTCGGCGAGTGCTGTACAGACATTTTGTACGCTAATATGTAGCTAACCGCTTATGTTATTTGTGCCTAGTAATGAAATTGAGTGTCAGCGTTGTAAATGGTGGTTTTTGTTACAAGTGGTAGAATTTAAATTCTTAATATGACAACACTTTATCAGTGAGATATTGTTGAGAGGGTAGATATAACTAACAGTTAGTGACACTATTTGAATACACACCTTCACTGTAATTTTTCTCCAACCTGGTGAATGGCTTTACAGCAAAGTTTACACTTCACAGCAAGTAATGGTATGTGATTTCATTCCTCTTGCACTTCCCCGACTTGGTTCTTGTTAATGGCCCAGTGTAGTGCCAATAGCACGGGTGTAGACACAGCACGGAATATTTTTGTTGCGAATGATTTTCAACACGACCGTTGTTTACTATGTTGACACTGACAACCTTCAAATCTTAAGTTGGTAAGAAAAAAAATTATAATATCGCAATAATGACATATTAATTGAGGATAAGTATGACGGGTGTATGAACAATGACTCAAAAATTTACAAGTGAATGTAATTTGGCTATAATATAAAATTAAAATGTGAATAAATTACTTTATGACAAACTACACTAAATAAACAAAAAAAAACAATTTAATGGAAAATAAGTAAAAGTAATCCTTTCGAAAGTTAGAAGCCATGTTTATATTAATCGCCATATAATTAAATATTATCCATTGATTTATTAAAATTATTAAAACAGTTTCAAATTCTAGATTAAATTCTTACCTTGACTTTAATATTTTCCTTACTCTGAGGGTAAACTTTAACTGTAATGAGTAGTGAGCGCCATAGACTAGATAAATCTTTTCCTTTTCTGTTTAGAAACCTGATACAAAATTCTTTAAATTATTTATTAACTTGATATTAAATTTGTTACACTTCATTATAAATGGTATAAATGTTAAAATGAAACTCAATGGTCATAAAAATGCTAAGACAAGTAACGGCTCATCTGTATGAGTGTTAAGAAATTATCAAAAATAGTTGTTGCGAAGTCTCTGTGAGTAGGAAGAGAGTATGCGGTGCTGTGGTAAGATATATACTCCTCAGTAATTTATATAGTTACTAGGTGCTACGTAATTACTTGCTGCTGCATTTCACGGAGATATTACTATGTTATATTTACAAGGGGCTAGACATATTTATAATTTTGCATTGTAAATAATACATGTAGGAATAAAATACAGCACAGATGCCAAAGAAAAATGTAAAATTGTTAGAGATGTTAAGAGACATTTGTTACCGTTATATTTACCTCTCACCGCTGATCTCCAATCCAAGCCACAGAAAACTATATAGTAGGAGACTCCAAGCTAAGATGAAACTTGTATTATGGACTCTGTGTTGGCGAGCAGGACTCGCGCAATAATCCAATTGGAAAAATATTTATTTAAAATTAGCGCAAAAGCCCATGCATTATAAAGCTCATGTTACTATGTACGTGGACTACCAGGTAAGAGAGCGTGTCGTTTCGTGCTATTTTGGATTTCCATGAAAATGAAACACTAGAAATCCCCGAATGTATCGGGGATTTCTAGTGTTTTATTTTGGCTGTCAGTGTCAACCATTTTCGGTTTATGCTATTATATTCGAGCACTGGGTGTTGCGTTGCATTTTTGAAGTAAAACTTTTACGTTACGAAAAGTGTAATCGCGAAGCGCGAAGCGAAAGTAAGTTGAGAGAGAGAGAGAGATATATAAGTAAGTGAAGATAGAAAAAGAGAATTACGTTTCGTATATTACTGTAGGGGCAAAGTGGGCTTTCTCTTATAGCCAAGGAGTTTTACTTCAGACGTGTGGTGTAAAGCACACTCGTCGTTTTTTTTCAAGTTTTATCATTAAAATAAGACAATAATTCCGCAAAAACAAGGCCCTCGTAATGATGATGAAATTATGAGTTTTACAGGCAATAAATAAACTTGAAATAACTTTCAGACAGTAAAAGTATTGTAATATTTTAATTCAACAAACTTCATTCCGTCTGAAGTAGCTAGCAACACAATTCCACAGACAGAAAAGACGAAAACATTTCTGCTGTCAAACTTACCACAGATGGTTTGCCGGCCACCGGTTTCTTTTCATTCTGAGTTCTGTCTGTTTCTCGTTTTATCTATGCTGTTTCTGACCTTTTGACAAGTTTAAGCAGTACGTACTGACGGTGTTATTTAATGATTTTTGTTGGGAGAATCCTTAAAACTTTTTTATCATCAAAAATTTACCCTCATTTTGATAGAAAGTTTATACATAATCCGTAAGTTGCGTTATTCTTATTTTATAATTTAATCGTGGTAAAAATTGAATATATTATAAAATTAATATAATACTCAATTTAAGAAACCATCATGCCATATTGCCTTAAACTATTTTTAGACTAGGCTGTAAAATAACGCTTAAAGCATAAAGCGTAATAAAAAAAAATAAGGTAACCTAGACATACATCCCTATGTATTTTTTTACGAAGTTAATAAATTAGTATTTTCAATATGATTGACGTTCAAATTATGGTACAAAGGCTAGTATGGTATAGACAGAACAAGAGCCCCAAACTTGCAATATAGGCAACGAGAGAGATCTCTCCTATCTCTTTCTAGTCAAGCTCTGTGGTTGGCTGGGGAATATTTCTCGTTGCCTGTATCGGTTTCACTCCACTTACAGGCAACAACTATAATAGTTGACGTTAATAATTAACGATATACGTCCTTGGTACATAAAAGTATCTAATGTAACAAACTAAATAAGTACACTAAATGATAAATTTCAAACTTGTTTATCATTATGTAATTATAAAATAAATAATTGACTCTGTACTGAAATACACACTGAATTGTTTAAATATTGTTATCTATACAAATAACTAAAATTGAAGTGTGTTTGTAATGTAAGAATTATAGGTTTTTTCATGCTCAAACGGTTTTAAAACAATACTTATGCCTAAAAACAAGTTTTTTTCTTCTCTGTCTGTCTCTCTGTTGGTTCCGGGTAATCTCCAAAACGGCCGGACCGATTTCGATAATATTTTACTACCAGGCAGCTGTCTACATAATGAATAACGTATTTTTCCTCTCAGAAAAACCTTTTTAAAATTTTGCCAATCATCGAACCCACTAAAGCAGCGCTTTTCAAAATCCATGTGAACAGCCACGGGTACCAGCTAGTTTTATATAAACTGGTGCTTTTTCTGTCAAGTTCCATAATTGCCACAATATTTAATTTAAGGCCACCATATTTTATTTAATACTATTATTAAGAGTAATAAAAATTAAAAAAAGAACACCTTTTATAACTTTTTAGTAATATACCATATTGTAATTTAATGTTTTACTTATCCAAGATAATGTTCTTAGTTCTTTGAAAACAATTTGAAATCATCCTTTTTTTCAAACTACAAATTATAGATCAATAAACTAATTTTTAAACTATAATTAGATTATTAAACAATAAGTAATATATATTTGTGTATACAAACCAGTCTGAAGTAATTTACATTATCAATCTATTAGCACGTTAACATATGAACGTCCTGTAACTAACATAGTCAAGCAACTGCCTGAAACACAGGTCCCACACCAAGCTGTTATTTTTAATAGTTTGTTTTTACCTCTTTATATTCAATCTTGCACATTTTAGAATAGGCACATACTAGTTTTATGTTAGCTTTAGTAACAAACTTTATATAAGAATCTAATGACAATAAAATGAAAATGAAATACAAAATATAACCTTGATTTTATTCTGATTTTGCAAAATAATTTTTTATTTTATTGTACTCTTACCTCATTCCTAGTTTGGGGTGGGCAGAAATGGTAGATAGTGGCACACTTGCCTTGATATTGACCTAATAGTTGAGCCACCTGAGAAGAAATTTGGCAAACAACCTCACGAGTCACTCTTAAAACCATCTTTTGATTTTTACAACATTTAGTGAAATAATTAAATACAATAAATTTTAGCACTACAATAACTATCTAATAGTTTCTTTAATTTAAGATTTAATTCATTTTAAACTGTAAACCTACTACTTCTTAATATTCTAAGAATGCAGTGTTAACCCTTAATTAATTGTTAGGTACACTTGTGTTCGGGGGGGGGGGGTCGTCTACTAGTCTGTAGATGACCCGAGGTATGTCGGGGCACCAGGGACTTCCTTTCTAGGGTATACCTGGTTCCCCGGCTATTAGTACCGGCGACGGCGTGCGGTTTTAGTCGGTTCGAGTCCGACATGCCACCGACAGGTGGTATCCGAGGGGATTTCCGCACGGAAAAAAAAAAAAAAAAAAAGGTACACTTGTGTAAGTAATAAGTTTGTAAAAAATAATGGGGTGAAAGAACCTCATGGATGTCCTTCGCCCAGTGGGGGATGGCGAAGGGGTCTGCCGAACTCTTAATGACTAAAAACCACCTAGTTGTTCCTCTCCTTGCCAGGGCCAGGTGCAGTGTAAACAATTGTGGGTTAACCATAAATAAAACACACAAACTTAATATTTTTAAGTATTTATCAATTAAGAGGAATCCAACAAAACCTCTCAAGCCAAAATCCATCAAGGCGTATAGACTAAAAAGCATCTCAGATAAATATACATACACTCGAAAAGCACAACCCGCCGTTTAGCGCAGTCGGGTAAAACTGAAGTAAGAAATGAAAAACGTAAAAAATGGATGATGTTGAACATTATTATATTATGCCGGGCACCAAATACTTTTCATCATCATCAGCCTATCGCAGTCCACTGCTGGACATAGGCCTCTCCCATTGCACGCCACTTAGATCGATTTTGGGCTTCTCGCATCCAGCTCCTGCCAGCCATCTTGCGCAAATCGTCACTCCACCTGGCCTGTGGGCGTCCTACACTACGTTTGCCGAGACGCGGTCTCCACTCAAGAACTCGTTTTCCCCAACGGTTATCGGTTCTGCGGCTAATATGGCCAGCCCACTGCCACTTCAACTTGCTGATCCGGTACGCTATGTCGGTGACCTTAGTTCTCTGCCGGATCACCTCATTTCTGATGCGATCCCTTAGAGAAACGCCGAGCATAGCCCTTTCCATAGCACGTTGAGCGACTTTGAACTTGTGGACCAGCCGTACCGTAAGTGTCCACGTTTCAGCTCCGTATGTCATGACGGGTAGGACGCACTCATTAAAGACTTTCGTCTTAAGGCACTGTGGGATCGACGATGAGAAGACTCGACGTAGCTTCCCAAACGCTGCCCAACCCAACCGAATTCTTCTGTTCACCTCGTCCTCGAAGTTGTTTCTACCTAACTGCAATGTCTGCCCGAGGTACACATAATTTTGAACAACTTCGAGAACGGCACCGTGTACCGCAATCGGTTCCGGTAGTACATGTTCGTTGAACATGACCTTGGTTTTATCCAAGTTCATCCGTAGGCCGATGCGTACAGAAGTGTCAGCTAAGTCATTCAGCATTTGCTGTAGGTCCTGCAACGTCTCTGCCATGATGACGATGTCATCTGCAAATCGCAAGTGAGAGATGTATTCGCCATTGATATTGATGCCACGCCCTTTCCAGTGCAGCGTCTTGAACATGTCCTCCATTGCATTTGTGAACAATTTCGGGGAAATAACGTCCCCTTGTCTCACTCCTCGATGCAATGGTACGGGCCTTGTTTGCTGATTCTGTACTTGGACGGACATGGTGGCGGCTTCGTAGAGACATCTCATCACTTTGATGTATCGCCAATCTACTTGGCAACGCTGCAGGGACTCCAGAACAGACCAGATCTCGATCGAGTCAAAGGCTTTCTCATAGTCCACGAATGCTAGACACAGGGGCTGACTATATTCTTCGGTCTTCTGTATAATCTGCCGCACTGTGTGGATGTGGTCTATGGTGCCATATCCGCTCCGAAACCCAGCTTGCTCCGGTGGTTGGAATTCGTCGAGTCTTCGCGCAAGACGGTTCGTGATGACTCTCGAAAACAGCTTGTAGACGTGGCTTAGAAGGGATATGGGTCGATAGTTCTTCAACCTGGTCTTGTCACCCTTTTTGAAGAACAAGACGACCACACTCCTACTCCACGCTTCTGGAGTTCTCCCTTCAAACAGGACAGCGTTGAAGAGCTTTTGGAGCTCCCTTAGTACGGGTTTACCCCCGGCCTTCAGCAGCTCTGTTGTAACGCCATCCTCTCCAGGGGCTTTTCCATTTTTCAGCTGTCCAAGAGCCATCTCGATTTCGTCAATGCTAACTTCTGGCAGGTCTTCGGTGTAGTGACGTGTTAATGTGGCTCTAGAGTCCTCATTTTCGGGATCAGGTCGAGATGCATGCGAAGCGTATAACCGGCCATAGAAGCTTTCCACTTCCAAAAGGACTGCCGGCTTCGAAGCAACGACTTCTCCACTTTCTGTAGTCAACTTTGTCAGGTGGCTTCTTCCAAGAGATTGTACGAACACTTTTGACCCCCGATTTTGCTCGATCGCTCTTTCAATTGAAAGAGTATTGGAGCACCGGAGGTCGTGTCGTACGAGTTTACTGATCTCTCGGTTTAGAGTCCGCTTTGCCGACAAAGTGACAGGTGGGTTTTCACGTCGTTTCTTCATCAGCCCTAGGGTCCTTTCTGAAAGCTTCGACTTCCTGCCCTTACGCTGCATTTCACAAAATCTCATACCTTCTTCCCTGAGGATCTGAACCACATTTTTGAGGTTCTGGTTTACGTCGATTTTGGTTTCCACGGCAGCGAATCGGTTTTCCAGTTTTGACTGGAACGTTTCAGATCCTGTCATGGCTTGGAGCCGAGTTGGTCGGAGCCTGGATTTCATCAAACAGACACGTTCCGCCTTAAAGTTGATATTCAGAGAGCCCCGGACAAGTCGGTGATCACTACCGGTATTAAACCTATTGATCACTGAGACGTCTCTGAATATGTGCTTTCTATCCGTCATGATGAAATCGATCTCATTTCTGGTCATAGCGTCGGGGCTTTGCCACGTCCACTTCCTTTGGGGCTGTTTCTTGAAGAAAGAATTCATCAAAAACAGCCCCTCCCGTTCGAGGAAGTTGACCAGCATTTGCCCCCTATGATTCCTGCTTCCAAATCCATGGGATCCTACTACCGATTCGCCGCAATTCTGTACTCCCACTTTAGCGTTGAAGTCACCCATAACAACGTTGTAGTGGGTCTTAGTTGTGAAGTGGAGGGCCCTCGATATGTCATCGTACATATCCTCCACCTCGTCGTCCGAATGTGCCGAGGTCGGTGCGTACACTTGCACAACCTTGAGGCTATACCTCTCGGTGAGCTTGATAATGAGGTACGCTACCCTGTTCGACACACTGGAAATTTCCACAACGTTGTCAGATAGGGACTTATTTACCAGAAACCCAACCCCACCTTGGGATTGTTGGTCTCCCTCGCGGAAGTACATTAGGTGGCCTGACTCGAGGGTTATGGTGTCCTCCCCCTCTCTTCGGACTTCACATAGCCCTAGGATATGCCACCTAATCTTCCCAAGTTCCACCTCAAGTTGCGCCAGATGCGAGTCTAGCCGTAGCGTGCGTCCGTTGTACGTAGCCAGGGTCAGTCGGTTGTGGTGGCCTCCCGTAGCTCGGAGATTCTTCGCACCCCCTGCCCCGCCTTTACCGAGGTCGAAAATACTTTTAGATTCGCTGTAAAATCAAGGGCTTAGCTGGGATCTGTTTTAAGGCCTAAACCATGGAAGTAAATAGTCTTTAGCATAATAATATTGAGAGATTTTTTTTTAAGTACTTTAGCAAAAGCCTGCTAGTATTCTGGTTGGATCTATTTATAACTAGACCCAGCTAGAACTTAAGGAATTGAGTTATTTAGCTCAATATCTTATCTCCCCTGGATGGGGCGGAGGGTGTACACATTAAATTTCGACCAGTCTTAAAGCTTTGCGCTTAATTTCACTCCACGTCTTGGCGATATTCTTGGCATCATTTGCCACTGTTCGTCGTCGTGGCTACAAACTTTGCATTATCCCTGAGGATTCCAATGCAGTACCTCCTTGGGGATATGTTTGGGGTCCCTATGGAGAGTGTGGTCAATCCAGCTCTATTTGCCGCGTTTGATTTGCTGGTCGATCGGGGTTTCGTGACAGAGTCACAATAGATGTTGGTTATGTTCTCGGGCTTGTATATCGGGTATTAAAAAAGTACCGGAGCAGCAGAATATTTCGCTAGGGATGCATTTTTCTGAAATACGTTAAACACAAAAGTTACAGGAATTTTCCCTGGCTATCCATTGTTGACCTTGATCACAACCTTGAAGATTATCAAGGGTCAAGGGCAATTTTCAAATGGGATTACATATTTTTAAGCCCGAAATTGAAAAGAGGAAAAATTTACAATTGGATATGATCTTTAGTACAAAAATTTTGACCTCTAAAGGTCACCAATTCAAGGTCAAACTTACAAACCACAGGAAAACAAATCCATTCTCTTCAGCCAAGAGACGAGCTACAAGATTCAGGGTTTTTTCTTGGCTATTAAGTTTCAGACTTTAGACTATGAATGGGTAAACTCTGATCTGAATTTCAAGGTCCTTTTAAGGTCACGATCATATTTTTTAAATAGGATCCTGATTTTATTTAAAAAATGAAAGAATCACAAGAAGTCGTAACCGTAAAACCAATATTTTCACCTCTGAACGTGTAAGTTGGCTGAAAGGCTGTACGGATTTCACGTAGGAGTTTAATCCTTCGCGCCAATTACCGTGATTCCACACAGGTGAAAGTTGTACAAATGCAGCTCGAGCGTTGACAATGCGTGAACTGATGTTTTCATCAGTACCCCTAGTTCCTGATACAACGATAAGTTAAGTAAATTTGTGGCGATTTTCCATCCTAGATCGCATCTCTTGGGTTTTCCGAGCATTAACCTTGTAATGCCAGCCTCTCTGTACAGGCCGTCCAACTTGGTATGTGGAACTCAGCAAATAAATCGTCAGCATAATTATAGTCTTCTTACGCAGCTGTTATCCCCTACTCTATTCCACGTCGCTTTCTGTGGGATGCGTGATGCATAATTCATTCCAGGACAACGAGAAAGCGCAGTTTAGGCTTAACTTTATTTGTAAACCGTTCTTACAAGGGTAGTATCATACATATAAATGTCAGAAATATAATGTACAAAGGACGGCCTCATTGCTAAATGCAATCTCTTACAGGCAACTTTAAGATATCATCTTAGTTAATTTGTTTTCAAAGGAATGAATACGCGGAGGGTGTATTCCGTGATTTTGCGCACGCTCCGCTTAACTTTACGTGAGCTCATTCGTATTTCGAAGTTTTCGATTATTTCGTATGTTAGTAATCTTGAAAAAAATATAATATTCTGTTGCCGACTACAGAACCCAGAATAGGGCAAGTGCCCTAGCTATCCAACAAAGCTATGCCCTTATTTTAAGGAAAACAGTCCCGTTTCCTCCACATTACACTACTGAGTAATAGTCTTATAGGAATACTTAAAGTTTTCCTGTTTTCAATTTGTAATAAGTCCAACACTGTATAAAAGCAACCGGAATAAACACTCATAACAAATTGCACAACGCAGTTTGCCGTGCAGATTCTTAATATCTGTATTATTTTTCAGCTGTAAAATTAATAAAGTAACTTGTTCACCAATGTCTAAGTCAGCTTTGTTGATTCTGGCCAAGGGGGCTGAAGAGATGGAGTCTATCATTACTGTTGATATGCTCCGAAGAGCAGGTGTAAGTAAAAAAACACTCTTTTTTACTTTCTAAAACACTGTCATTTTTTTTTCAAATTGGATTAATATGTAGTGACCAGTTGATGACTCTTAATGGTTAATGGTCTCAGCCTCAGCCAACTGGACACCGTACCAGTACACCGTACGTGCTGTCCAGTTTCTCTATTCGAGACTTATCGGTACCTAACCCCAATTTAACTCCTTCCTCTGTCCTCTCTGAAAACAAATTCTCCAGTGATGGTTGCCGCAAGTCAGTTGCAAAATTAGGGATAAAGAAGGATGATGATGATGATTTATATATGGGTATAGGTCCCATGATTTAGTCTCTCTCTTTGAGGTCGCACTCCTCTGAATGAGGTTCGTGGTCAGCATCTGCGCGGATGATCTGACTCTAGGGTTTTTGTCCAACGCGGTGGTTGCGACCGTGTTGGAATTGGGGGACGATGATAAGATTATGTTTATTTCAGATTACTGTAACGTTAGCTGGCTTAGACGGTGGAGATCCTGTGCTGTGCTCCAGACAGGTGACCGTTGTCCCTGATAAGTCTCTGTCTGCTGCTCTACAGGACCAGCCACAATATGATGCGGTAATATTTTTTTTATAAGTTTTCGGCTAGGGGTAACCGAATAGAATTGCAAAGTTAAGCCATCCTAGACAGATTAGTCTATGGATGGATGACCCTTTTTAACATATTGAAACCCCTCCTCAGAGAGCACGTTAAGCTGTCTATCCCGGTTGACATATCTGTGGGAATCAACAGTAGTTTGAGCCCTGAAAAGTCTGTCAACACTATCTACAGAACTACGATATCGCCTTGTACATGGGTTGTGGAGATCTGATGGCAGTCCCTCCACGTAAACAACCGAAGTTTAGCCGTATCATAGCAAACGGAAAGACGACTCAAAACTGTTCTGCGAAAATGCTCAGATCATAAAGATATTTTTATTAGTGAGGATGAAATAAAAGAACATTACGTTTGATACTAAATATTAGTGGACAGATACTTGCACGAGTGCAAAAGATCCGTGAATCATCGTGGTAGAACCCTCAACTGCATTGTCCTGAGATGCCTCTCTAAGTTTAAAGCAAACTTGACTACACGGTGGTTTAAGCGGTCACCTCACCGCTTTCTACTGCGCTGAGTGTTGTGGGTTCGATCCTTATGAGACGACACTTTGTGTGATTCACAAATTGTTGTTCTGAGTCTGGGTGTTCTTTGTATACGTTTAATGTATGTTTTGTAAAGTCCCCCGCGACACAGGATATATTCCTAGCGTCGTAGTCTAACAAAAAAATTGCCGTCGCTGGACGTCTGGCAAATGTGCAACATTGAGATTATTTTGTAGAAATAATTAGTATATAATAAGCTAGCTTATGAAAAGAAATATTAAATACAATTAAAATTATAGCCACGTGATCCACAAATTGTTGAGTCTGGGTGTTCTTAGTATCAGTTTCGTGTTTGTGTATAAAGTCTCCACACACACAAGACAGGATATATTCCTAGTGCAGGAGTTGTCTTTTAAAAAATATCAGTAAAGAGTAATTTCTTCCAGATTATCTTACCAGGGGGCTTAGAAGGTTCCGACCGCTTGTGTAAGTCTGAAGTTGTGGGCAAGCTACTGAAAGACCAAGAGAAGTCAGGCAGAATTGTTGCTGCTATTTGTGCTGGTATGCATCGAATTTAATTACTAATTCTTAACATTATAGTGTGTTAATGTAGTAAGTCTTGCTTCATCACAATAAAGTTCAATTCAGGTTGCACAACGCTAATCACTCACAGTTTTATTCAGGTCAAAGTTGCATTTCTTTCTATCTTATACATTTTAGTTTCTGACGATGTCTTTTGCAATCGTAAAAAATAGATTTTAAATAGTTTTTAAGTCTTAAGACCTAAGAGTTAAATACTCAAACGAAAGATAATAGAAACAAACTTTATGCCCACCTGAGTGATTATAATTTTTAAGATAATGAGGTAAATGAAGATTTAACATACTTTTTTTATTTCAGCCCCAACAGCCTTTGCAGCCCATGGTATCGGTCTCAATAAACGCGTGACGTCATACCCGACAACCAAAGACAAGATCCCTGCAGATAAATATACTTATGTTGAGGGCGAAAGAGTCGTGGTGGATGGGAATGTTGTTACAAGCAGGGTAAGTCTATATAATGAAACGGAAAAAAAAACATAATTCAAGTTTATCTTAAGGCCGATTTTTTTGATCCTTCGAGCCGATAATGTCGTTTAAAAAGTGATGCATTGACTTTCAGGTTACCGAAGTGTTAGATTAAGGCAGAATAGGTTGTCATATTTGAGACTCTTTGGTACGCACGAAAAATACCAACAATCTTTCTACCATTAATCTTTACACTCAGCACTTAGACATATAAACAACTTTGTTTATATTTAGTGCAGTTAGAACTAATGGAATATAACTGACAGTTCAGTATTGCCTGGTAATGTTTTTAAGCACCGCCCACTCAGGTAGACATTGCGCACAGTTTGTGAGCTTTACAAAGTTTCGCAGAGGACGTGTTGAGACTGGTTTGAGGCGTCGGTCCCTTACCAGCGGCCCCTTACCTTATTTACTAATTGCGTCTTTTTGTTTGGGGGATATGTTAGGAATTAGCTCCGCGGTATATGATAGGAAATTTATATAATAATCGCCACGATAACTTTAATTGCGCGATGCAGGATTATTAGTTACTCCATAGTTCAGTGTGATTTCGGTAGATGGTATTGATTGAAGCATGTTTATCAATGTATGTGAAATGAAATAATATAGTGCAATTTATTCTATTTCCAGGGTCCAGGCACAGCATACTGGTTTGGTTTGAAGCTTATCGAGTTGCTTGCTGGTAAACCTAAGGCTGATGAAGTGGAGAAAGCTATGGTCATATCTTCTTACTAATGTAGAAAAAGGAAAGTTGTATCTTATGTTATGCAACACTTCATTGTTGTATATAAATTACTATTAGAAATGGTGGCATTATGTAAAGAATTAAGATTCCCTCTCTCTCTCTCTACAGGTAATTTGTAGTAATGGGAATGCTAAAAGAACTTATATAAACTGGCGTGCATAAAAATTAGCTCACCTAAAAATGTCTTAATTTTTTTTTGCTTATAGAGCAAAGATCAGCTGAGTAAAATAATAGATACAGGCTTTCTGACCGTTTGACCAGTGCAACCTGGTCAAAATGTCAGGCATAGGTATCTAATGCTTAATACCTGGTCATATATCTATATGTATAAAGATACTTGCCCTGACTGTTTGGTTCATCATCGCTGGGGCTACAAATTGTAATTTTAACAACTGTTGCTTTTTATGTTGTAAGCACCCACTAAGGAAGAATTTTTGGAAATTTCACCCCTAAGGAGGTAAAATAAGGATGACCAGATGTATGAGGTTCGTCATTTTCAAAGTTAGAAACACGAAATAAGAAGAAACCGCGAGAAGTAGCTTATATAAAAATATGTAGGTAATTTTTATTTATAATTATTTACTAAGTTTTAAACAAAAATTTGCATTAAGATTGACATCTATGATTAATGTTACACGAAGTTTAAACTAAATGTTGTCCATAGGACATAATTTTATGGGTGGCCTTATATAAATGCACTTCAGTTTATTATTTTAGAATGTTCCAGACCTGGAATAGGTACATTATATATATTTTTTGCTTCAATATTAATAGACTTTAATGTTGAAAAATAAACTTTTTGGGTTATTAATTATTGTTTAAATTTATACCCTTTCTGAACGCAATTTCGTGTTTATGAAGCACCCAACCATTACCACTTTTCCAGGTCCATATTTTTTATGGGTAAATCTGCGATTCAGTTCAACTAGTACCTGGTTATATTTAGAAATAGTCAATTCGAGTTAAGAAAATAGTGACGCATCATCAAGTCCAGCGCCCTGACCCTGAATCAGGTTCAAAGTTTTCGTACGAAACGATTATTTCTTGGAATCTGTTTGTTCAAGGAGCCGGGCCTGATCGATGCGTCACTAATTTCTTAGCGCGAATGGAATTTATGTATAACTAGGTATAAGGTAATAACGGGGTAAGACAAAATCTGGGCAGTAAATAAAATATCACATCCAGAGTAGGGCAAGTGCCGCACGGTGGCTACCCAAGGACGTAGCCACGGTGGGGCAGGTAGACTGCAAGAGATTGGGTTATTATCAACAGCCCTTAGTAGTCCACTGCTGGACATAGGCCTCTCCTTAGAAATAAGGTTTTGGCCTACTATACCACGCTGATCAGACGGGTTTGCCATTATTGGAGATTGTCTTAGCTCCTATTAAATGAGAAGGTCGCATCTCTGATAAAAGTATATATCTTTTTTTTTTAAAGATAACGCCCGCACTAGGAATATATCCTATGTCGCGGGGGACTTAACAAACATACATGAAACGGACACAAAGAATACCCAGACTCAGAACAACAATTTGTGAATCACACAGTGTCGTCCCATGTGGGGATCGGACCCACATCACTAGTAGTAGTGAGCGGCGTGGCGACCGCTTATACCACTACGCCATCCGTGCAGTCAATAAGTCAGTCAGTCAGTCAAGTATATATCTAGTTGCAGAAGTGAATGAGATGGAATAATATGTTCAGAAAGGTAGCCAAACAGTTTATACTTGGTTGAATAGAGTTTTGCCACTTCCAGGATGGTTAATGTTGTTTCCAGGTGTTTATGGAATTCTTAGTTACGACTAAACCAGAGCGCTAACATCATAACCGATATATTGAGCTCTCTGGAGGCTCATACTCTTAAACCTTCTGCCTGAAACCCACAGCCCATGACCAGAATAGGTTATTCTAACCAACTAATTGGTCTAGTGGCTAGTGACCCTGACTGTTAAGCCCGAGGGCATGGGATTGAATCGAACCTATGTAAGCTAGATTCACTGATAAAATTCTTATATAGTTTTTTTTTATAAATACATAGAACAGACCTTTCGGGTCTTGAGACCGAAAAAAAATTGCAGATCATGCATAAACATTTGGTCTAGTGGTTGGTGACCGTGACTGCTAAGCCGAAAGTCGTGAGTTCGATTTACACCCAGGACAAGTATTGTGTGATGAGCACGATCATTTTTTCTGTGTCTGTGTGTAATTTATCAATAACATCTATGTATTAAGAAATATATAAGTATGGTTATTAGAAAATTGGTTTTCATAATACAGGCTCTGCCTAGTTTGGGACCAGAGTGCCGTGTGTGAAGTTATTATTATTATTAATTCAACATAAAAAGCAAAATATAAATAAAACAAATTGGTATGTAATTAATATAAGTTTATATATTTGGATATACGACAAGCTTTTATACACAAATTATTCATAATTCATTTAAAGTCGACACCAGCATTTTGTTTAAGCAATAACAGTGTGAACAAAATAACATTAAAAAAAAAGACGCGTGGCACTCGGGGACTGCCGCGGTAAAGCTATTGCATAGCATTTTTTATCAACTTATCCAATTATAATTATTTATTTATTTTATTTACGCAGTATTTTTTTTCCTGTTTTTTTTAAATATTAATTAGATTGCGGGGCGAAGAGGGGGATTACGCATGCGCAGCAACGCCGATACAACCAATGCCACCTAGAGGCGAGTTGCTGAACTAAAGAGACAAGCGTGATATTTCAAAAAAGTCAGTAAAAGTTCTGCTATTCATCGATAGATCGCAAAACTAAAAAGAATCACGTGGGGTGTGTTAGGTTATTTTCGTTACGGAATTTCTGGATTCGGTCTCCACGCTCAAGGCCCGCGATAGAAGCTATGCAATAGCTTAAAAAGTATGTGTGAGCGAGATAGCATTCATCCGATAATTACGCGATCTGAAAACAGGTCGACGACTATTAAAGGGCCAGTAAATTCTAATTTTAACTACCTGACTACTTAGTTAAACTAACTTATAAACTTTTGCGATATTAAATCAAATAGCGCTTCCTGTAACACATTTCCGTCCCACTTCATGCAAATCCCTCCCATATATTACAGGAAACATGTTACACATCAAAAACTACTATTATGTCCAGGTTTCTCTTTTTGAACTTCTTTAAGCCTAAACCTAGCCTAAACCTTTATTTAGTTCACACTTTCACCTGCTTTTTATTCGATACAAAAATAAATGCAAAATGATTAATCTGAAAGCATATATCAAAATCTCAAGGTTTATTTTTTGCAAAATAACCTAAAAAAATCGTTTTATATGTAACACAAAGTATTGCTATAAATATCTAAATAAAAATGAGATTCCTAGATCAAGGAACATATGCTATTTGGCAAGTTTTAATACTAGAATGAGAATCTTAAGTTTGGGACAGACAGCGGGTAGGGCGGGACGGGGACGAGTGTTTATTACGACGGCTCTGTGTGACATCTTCTATATTAACTAATGCATTAGAACTCCTGCGAACCTGAATATCGCGTCGCCGTCTCGTTCCGCCCGGTGTTTGGCCCAAACTTTTGTTTATATTAAATACTAATAACAGTCACAAAACTTTTGTATATACTCGTATTATATACATACATTTATATATTTTTAAAAGAACTTCCAATATAGGTATACCCTCGTTCAAGGTACGAATTTTACAAATAGAAAATATATACAAAGCTCACTCGTTTGTTAATCTATACTAATATTATAAAGCTGAAGAGTTTGTTTATTTGTTTGTTTGAACGCGCTAATCTCAGGAACTACTGGTCCGATTTGAAAAATTCTTTCAGTGTTAGATAGCCTATTTATCGAGGAAGGCTATAGGCTATATATCATCACGCTAAGACTAATAGGAGCGGAGCACCAATGAATAATGTTTCAAAAACGGAGAAAATTTATTACTATTGAGAGACGCAGACGAAGTTACGCGGGTCAGCTAGTTACATAATAAACATAAAGCAATTATCATAAATGCTGGTAGAACCGCAACCCGCCCGCTGATGGTATCAGGGATTTCCTTTATAGGGTACATCTAGTTACCCAGCTATTGGATTTTTGGTCGGTTCGAGTCCGACACAACCACCGGTGGGTGGTATCCGAGGGGATTTCCGCACAGAAAAAAAACTTTTGTTTTTACTCCTTAAATAAAAAAATTAAAATGAAACCGAATTAAAATCTGGTGCGTAGGTTAGGAGTTCGCTAATATATATATATATATATTTATATATATACTCACGCGTAAAGCGACTGTTTCATAGTATGTAAAGATAAATAACATATGTACATAAGTGTATGTACTCGTATGTATGTATGTATACATACATAAATGTCGTGACTGCTACTACAAGTGAACATAAAGACGAAAAAAATACAATCGAATTGAGAACCTCCTCCTTTTTTTGAAGTCGGTTAAAAAACCGACTTCAATGCTTCTAACTTAATCCCAAAGTGACCCACGAACACAAGTTATGACGCACCGGCAGTCCCAGGAGAACTTAAACTGTTTTAAAAAACGCAGAGCCTAAACCTTCAAATGTTGGCATCTGATGCTTTTTATGTTGTAAGAACCCACGGGGGTAAAATAATGGATGAACGGTTCTGTGGAAAGGTGTCATTTTCCAAGTTAGAAATACGAAATAATTACGTAAGAGAAGCCCCTGGCAATAACTAGTATAATATATAGATATTTTGAAGATAATATGAGTATTTTCTAAAAGACAGTTCGTGAGATATAGTACAGTACAATATTATATCAAACATGGTAGGATTTTATTTTCTACCATTTATGGTATACAAACAATTTTGTCTCTTATCCTGACATAGGGATACCAGCATAAAAAGAAAAAAACTAACAATATAATCGGTTTAAAAGTAATGTCTGTAAAATCACATGAAATAAAAAAAATATAATGGTAGCATATGGTTAAAATAAATTATTTAATGATTACTAAATTTATTGTTAAATATCTGTTTTAAAAATAGATTACACTAAACACAGTCGCAATTACAAATTTAAATAAGATACCTATTTAAATCTGTATTATATTTTTTATAAAATTAATAATAATTCAGTCGCAATAAATAATAGGCTAAAATCAATAAACAAAATATTTATACATTGCGTATACTTTATTGCGTAGTATTTGGAGTTGGTATTTGAGTGTTTTAGTAAAACCTAACGCACATATTACGTTTGTGGAAAAATTTCAAGCTTAAAATCAAGTTCACCTTTTAGTCTTCAGTTTGTCAAGGATTTTTTTAGTTGCTCTTGTTGAGTAAGAGTGTTGTAAGAGCTCCGTAATAGTATCCGAATATTTAAGATATCCGAAAAAATATCCGAGTGTCACAGTTTTGGATAAAAGTGGAATCTAATTCTATATGGAGCGTTTGTTTTTTGTATTTTCAAGTAGATTTGACTAACGAATGAGTAGCTATAATATTCATTTTATTACTTTTACTATCAAATGATAATATAGAAATAAAAGCAAACCATTCGTAATGTGTATTTTCCTATTACACTTAAAAGTCCGAAACAACCGGACAATTCGAAACATTTTCATATCAACGGTATCCGAAACCAATATAACACTATACGTATTTCTGCATTTAGATCCTAAATTACATATACAAGGTGTAAGGGGCGGTGAAGCGAATACTGAGTCGAAAATTATTGGAATTTAAGGTCCACGTTCGACGTTTTGGTCATCCCCGTATCGCACAAAAGTAATAACTATATTTCTATTCCGTACAAACAGTCTACGCATACTATCACAAGTTGGCGGCCGGGGGAGACCGTTACAGATTTTGTTGCAAATTATAAAAAAAAATGAATTTTCCGACAGAAAATTCTAATGATTTTCGACTCCGGACGATGGTCTGATATTTCAGTATGCGTTACACGGTCCCTTACAACCTGTATATATATATTATAGTAATAGATTTCAAAAATAATAGGAATCGGAGCTTTTTAAATCATGGGAGATTTTTTTGGCATGTTTTATTACTTTAATTGTTTTCAATGATTGAAAAAAAGGGTCGAATTTCAATCTATAGGGGACAACTATTTAACATTATATTATATATTTAGTTAAAATTATTTCCACAAGTTCTTATATAGTAGACCCGACAGGGAATCCTCATCAAGGAATGAAGCGACCCATCGCGTTAGGTACTGCGTTTGACCCTTTATTCTTTGATAACTATCAATACACACGTGAGTAAAACCGGACTTTCTTTACAAAGTCATTAAAATTGGTTAAAATATCTTATTTCTAATACAAGTCCTTTAAAACACAAAAATATATTTTTCAAACATTCACTTACATAAGTCTGGATACACATTTTTAATTCAACTAATACATAAATATTGAGATTTGATCATAAGCCTCCTTAAATAAGCCACAAAATTAAATGTGTGTCGAAGATTTTATACCACTTACGACTTCCTTAGAGATCTTACGACTTTGAAGAGATCTTACGACTTCGAGATGTATACGTGTTTTTACCACTCGTTGAATGTATTTATGACTTCCAAGACTGCTTAGTAATGACGACGGTTGAAATAGTAATTTCTACTTAGAACAAAAAGGTCGTAATGACTGCAAAGTCTACGAGACTCCGAAATTACCAGTTATCCAAAAAGTCATAACCAGTCTTTGGCACGCCGGTGTCGGTAAGGGTTTCGGTGGAGTGGAAGTCGGTGCCTGATGAAGCTTGGCTCGACGAGAGAAGACCACGGTTCTCTTCAGAGAGATCTGTAAACGGGAGATAATGTGTTGGTTTAATTACGTAACATATAAGATAGTGTTTTTTTAATTAAATAAAAAAGTATAATTAGTAGTAACATGACACAATACACACACGGCTATCTCTTCTCAAACTAGTCACGACCATCCTCCGATAGCTGAGGCCATCTGTCTTCCTAGCGCTACTTAGCGAACTAAGGGAACATCGGGGTTCCCACATAGGATAGGGTAATCTCTAAGCCGTAGATGGCCCAAAGTAAGTCAGGGTAAAAGGGCTTTCCTTTCTAGGGTATACCTGGTTCCCCGGCTACTGTTACCTAGAGACGGTGTGTGGTTTTTGGTCGGGTCGAGTCCAACATAACCACCCTACTGGTGGGTGGTATCCGAGGGGAGTTCCGCACAGGAAAAAAAGGCCTATCTAAAAAGTACTGCTAAAATAACAAAATAAAATCGTTGTCATAAGCTGGTGTCCAATCATTCTACTAAGTAAAAAATAAAGAGATATTGTATACAACATTTGTTACGCCTATTGTGATATCTTTACATTGTCATTGTCGAAGAATGTAGGTCGGAAATGCTCGCCTTAAACAATATAATCTTTACTTAAACAATAGCTCACGAACGAGATAGGTCATGTTTACAAACAGCTGACTAAACTATGTACTTGATAATTATTACTAACGGGATTTAAATCGCTTTAGGTATTGTGCTTATTGCTTGATGTGCGACCATTATTGATGTGATACATCTTTAAGGCGGAGGGTCAGCCCCGTGGCGATGCGTCGCCACGCCATGTGATAGTATATGTAACATGTAATGTGGTGTGGCTATAATTTTAATTGTATTTAATATTTCTTTTCATAAGCTAGCTTTTTATATACTAATTATTTCTACAAAATAATCTAAATGTTTCGCGTTTGCCAGACGTCCAGCGACGGCAATTTTTTTGTTTTTTTTAAAGAATACTCCCACGCTAGGAATATATCCTGTGTCGCGGGGGACTTTACAAAACATACATTAAACGTATACAAAGAACACCCAGATTCAGAACAACAATTTGTGAATCACACAAAGTGTTGTCCCATGTGGGGATCGGACCCACAACACTCAGCGCAGCAGGAAGCGGCGAGGTGACCGCTTAAACCACTACGCTATCCGTGCAGTTTTTGCATTTTTTTATGAAATAAGAGGGCAAACAAGCACATGGGTCACGTGATGGTAAGTGACTACCACCGCTTTGAATGCCCCACTCCCAGAATTAGGAAGGGGGAGGAGCTTTTGCCCCCCCCCCGTATCCGTCAGAAGTGGTTGTACCACTAAGGTGCCAAATAATTTTAGAGAAATTATTAAACTCACCGCTACTAGATTTGACCACACTGCTTCTATATTCCTTCTCATATTTATTCTCTGCCGGTGGACTCTTGAAGTTTGTCCTGAAGAAATTCTCCGAAGAAGCCACTATCTGGGTTTGTGGTGCAATTGATACAAGGCATTCTCTTTCTTCATCTTTGTTTTTAAAGTTTCCTATGAATTTGCTTATGAATCCTGGAGATGTGACCTGAATAGAAAATAATGAGAGATGTGGAATATTATTATGATGTCACACATGGGAGTCTAATCCCAAACTAGACAGAGCCTGTACTATGGTAACCAGACTGCTGATAAACATACTCATATATTTCTAAATACACACATATTATAGATAAATCACACCTAGACACAGAACAAATGATGGTGCTCATCACACAACTATTGGCCCTGGGTGGGAATCGAACCCATGACGTCTGGCTTAGCAGTCAGGGTCATTAACCACTAGACCAACTGGCCCGTCAATTGCCTGAAAAATCGTAAAAAAAATACAATCAAATATTAATCACCTCCTTTTTTAATGTGGTTTAATAAATACTTACCTCTCTGTCATGTGAATCTTTGTAAGTACTCCTTAAAACATCATGAGATTTTAATGCATTCTTCAATTCGGAGACCACTTTGGAGTGAGAGAGAGCCAACTCAGACATAATAGGGGGTGGAGAAGTGAGTTTCTCTTCTTTAGGAGCCCTGCAATCGCTCAGCATGCAAAGATTCAGTTGACTCTTCGTTTGGTACAGGAACGGAGCACTGTGCTCATCCCTATAAGTCGTATGTTCATCCTGGATCAATCTTTGACCATGATCCCGTCCGAAGAAAGACATCAGGTCATCTTTTCTCACCGGTGGATCGTTCAGGTCAAAATCTAGTGTGTCCAGGAGAGCGTACTTTAGTGCGATGTCTGGTTTAATTAGAGATTCGTTTATTACTTCAGTCTGAAAAAAGGCATTTCATTAAAAATAAAAAAGTGCGAGTATGTATCGTTTTCAGATTTTTCCCTGAACTTGTAGAATAATAAGTAACTTGCCAAATTTCATAGTTCTAGGTCAACGGGAAGTACATTAAAAGTTTTGATTCCCTTTAAGAGTGTAGGAAATATGCATTTTTTTGCGGCATAAACAACCGTATCTTTTGGTTTTAATTTCTACTCGATACCCTCACGAGTAACGATAAAGGGTCTTGACAGACAAACGGACAGACAGACGGACAAAAAAATTGATCCTGTAAGGATTCCGTTTTTTCCTTTTGAGGTATGGAACCCTAATTAAAAGAGTTCAATTAGTCTTTTTTGTCGAGTCGTGTTGTTAGGGATCTTAATACCAAGGACTCAGGTATACCTTGGACAGGACATCCTTGTGAACCCCGGCAGACCAGTAACAACAACAACCGACCCAAGCGCTTTCAAAAAGGCGTGCCTAATACGTCGAATGTCCCAGGCCTGCTTCTGTTAGGATGTCAGATAACCCTTCTTATAACCTGCATTCATGGGCTCATAAGGGCCGGAAACCATTGCACTCTTAAAAGCCTGGTGCGTCATCTGCACAGCTGAAAGCAAAAGTTTCTCCTCTGTTGCTTTTCTCATGAATTACATTCCGCAAGAGTTTCATATATAGTATGCCAGCTCAAGCTTCTGCAATGATAGCACACAGACGATGATTGCCATCCTATGGAACACAGGGACTTTCTGAAGCAACCGTGACCCTCCAGCCAATAATTCAAGGTTCCCCTAACTATCTCTATTGGGACTCACCAGGTGTAACAAAAGCACTATACAGCATTTAGTTATTGTTTTAATGGAATCCTCTATTCTATTCCAAAATATACAACCATGTTTAAAAAAATAACACGGCTGTTATTAACGATTGAATCCAGAGCTATATAGATAATACCACTACCGATATACTACTGCATTTAACCAAGAAAATATTGTATTGTGCACTTAGGTCTCTAATCATAGCATCTATTGTGGCAAAAACAAAACAATTCATTGTTATGGTTGTACATTATCAATATTATATGTTGTGTTGTTTGTTTTTGTCAATATATTTTTGTTTTTGTGGTGGTACATGAGAATAGGGCCTAATATCTAATAACATTTCAATATGGAGTTGTTCAAATTTTTAAATGAATTCTAATTTTATTCATTATTAACTCACGTCTTTTATCCCTGAAGGGATAAGACTGCAGACTATAAAAATTTTAGTCAGCACACCATCTCGGGTACCAGGTGCTGGAAATCAGGTGTACCCAGAAAGAAAATCCCTGGTACCCAAACCGACAGGGGGCCATCTACGGCTTGTAGATGACCCTCTTGTGTGAGTGAACCACGGTGTTTCCATTTTCTTCCAGCCTGCTTCTGCTAGGGCGACAGATGGCACGCCCACAAAATAAAAATTTGTTTGCATGTTAAGCTTTCAGTATTCAAACTACTTAAATTGTATTCACATTGTCAGAGCCACAGACATAAGATACTGTTTCATTCAGTAATTCAAATAAATACTATTCCTGAACCAGAGGGCATAGTGTGAGTTTCACATCATCAGCCTTTAATAGTCCACTGCTGGACATAGGCCTCTCCTTAAAAAGGAGGTTTGATCGGCACAGTGACCGCGTTTGAATGTTCACGTTCAATGAAATCCTGAACAATTGCAACAATAAAAGCGCTAGGCCTCCAGAGCGAGTAGATGTGAAATAGAATCACAATCGGACCTCTGAATTAATTGACAGCATGTACATTAACATAAGTGAAAATGAGAACAAAAACTACTACAAAAAGGTTTAAAACAAAAAAGTTTTTATTGTAAAGACTAACTTTACAATAAAAACTTTTTTGTTTTAAAAAACATTCTGACAAATTTAACGTTTCAGACCAAAATTTCAGCGTTTTTTGACCCCTCCTGGTCACAGCTGGTCAGTGGCCTCCCTCCCTTGTGTGACGTCACATATTTTACATTTAGAAATGATTAAATTAGCAGTTCCAAAATTAGTTTTAATTTCACTTTTTAATAATTTCAACATAAACTAATTATTTACAAAAACCAGCATTAAATAAAACATTTAAAAAATTAACATAATAAAAAATGATGATTTATATGTTAATGTTAATTATTCTAAATAGACGTTCTAATACTTAGATACATTCGGTTTTGAAATGAGACATCACGAAATTTAGGACCCCTCCCACCCCTTGTTACACAATATCACACTTTGTTGACCCCCTCACCCCTTTAGGTGTGACCTAAGTTATGGTTGGTTTCTTTTATAGACGCAGGTGCTTTCCGGGCATGGTTGCTTCGGAAAGTACCTGCACTCGGTCGCTAGGAGGGAACTGAGTCCCGCCTGCCACCACTGCGACTGCAGTGAGGACTCGGCCCAGCACACGCTGGCGGTCTTCCCCGCATGGGCGGCGCAGCGCCGGGCCCTCACCGCAGTCATCGGAGTGGATCTCTCGCTACCGGCCGTAGTACGCTCCATGGCCGGTAGCGACAGTTGTTTTACCGCGGTCGCAACCTTCTGCGAGGTAGTAATCTCGCGGAAGGAGGCGGCGGAGAGGGCCCGGGAGGACGACCTCCACTCGGACCCGATCCGCCGCCGGCGAACCGGGCGAAGGAGGCCCGCCTATCACAGCCTCATGCCGCCCTGAGTGTGGCCGCGGGTGGACGGGGTGGGTTTCCCCTCCACCCGCATTAGTTTGGCCAGCCGCGAGGGGGCGGCGTCCGCGTGTGCCGGACGTCGCCTAAAGAGAGGAACAACATTGAGACGGAGCCCGCACCAGGAGCGGGCTGGCGCTAGGAGGGGTCCGGATGTCTTAACAACAGCTGTTCCTGGATCCCTCCTGTTACAGGCGCAGAGTGGCACACCGTGTGGTTTTAGTCGGTCCGAGTCCGACACACCACCCCGCCGCAAACCCCGGAGGGGTGACGGTCCGAGGGGATTTCCACACGTTAAAAAAAAAAAAAAAATGGTTTCTTTTATAGAAATTGACAATATAAAATGGTAATTTGTAGAGAATAAAAATATGCTAAAAGATTGCAAAATAAAATTTATCTGCCATTTGTATAGAAAAGTCAACCTCTGTTAGCATTTCATCATCATCCAATCCGATGATATGATAAGGGATTCGGATGAAAAACTCGTTTAGTGACTTTAATTCATGATTATCTTTTTTTTTTGTGTCTTTAGCTTGGACTAGTGATTGCCTGTGGCTTCCCAAGTGATTTCCACACAACCATTTCACTTTACTTTCAAATATGTTAATTTTAAATAACACTACTCTGAAAAAGTAGAAAGTACTCAGTTATTTTAGAATACCACAATTAAACAACAATAATTTGGTCCAGTAGTTTGCAATGCTGACTGTTAAATCAGAGGTATAAAACTTTTGCATTTGCATTTGGTTGCATAAAACTTTTATACTTAAAAAAAAAGAATTGAAAATTTTTGGCGCCTATATTTAGCTAAGGCTTGTGTAAAATATTACGTTTTTAAGTAAATTAATGTGTCCGTATTATTGTAGAGACTGATCTTACGACTAATAGTTACAAACAATAACATAGATAAAATGTTTTTTTGTATGACCTAGGAAATTGATTGCGAGATCCCACAACAAGCATTAGTTAACATAGCGTGCAAGATACTAATAAACCTCAATATAAAACGACGCGATAGTATATTAATCCCACGTTACAAGCAATGAATCACTAATGTCATTGATTTCTTACAATAATTAAAGTTTTATTTTATGTACATTTTATTTATCAAAGTGTTAATTAAAGGCTTAATTATGTGATAAGGAAGTTGCTAGTTAGATACCTTTTCTTTTTCCGTGAGTGTTTCCCAGATGTTTTCGTAGGAACTTTTAGCGTCCTCTACATCCTCATGAATTTTCGAAGCTAGTGGATTCATTGTACGGAAATATTGTTCAGCAATAGCTCCCAGCGCCATTGTTTATGATGTTAAAATATATTTACTATCTAGTATTATATAAATACACGGTTTTTAACGTCTGTTCTAGTATACCATTTTCATTGAATGTTCGATAATAAATAACAGACAGTGACAGACACAGAGACCAGAGTACTAAACACCGTACATCTGTACTACACAAATGTACTCTGTGGTACTCTGTATATAGTTATCTGTGGTACTCTGTGGTGTTATCTATAAATGACAATGACTAAAATGATTTTGCCACTCTACTATTTTTATTATTTTTGTCTTTGAATCACAGAGTACTATGTTCAACATGAAACTTAAAAAAAACTACAAACTCGAAAGTCATGAAAAGAATCAGTGTTTATTGGCTTTCTAGTATTTATAAATTCCTATTTTTTAAACTTTAAAAATCTTTTACCAATATTTGAATTTTTTGAATTGTCTTTACTTCAAAAATAAATGAATTTGAGTACAACTTTTGCAAAATAGTTAAATGGTAATAATATTGTCTCTAATTTTTTTTTATTTGAATCTTTTGAGTACTAAAAAAAGCACACTAAAATCGACATGACGATTAACAATCAACATTCTAATTCTGTGGTGTTTTCATTTAGCGTCAAATACGGTTATTGTATGTAGATGGGTGGACAACAACGAAATGTCAAAAAATCAAAATGGCTTACATTAGCTTTATTTGTTTTGTGTTTTCTACATTAAAATGTAGCGGTAATACGTGATTTTTTACAAAAAGTGTATTCTACTATAACCATGTTGCATAACACGGGGCAATATGAGCCAAACGAGACTCCTATGAACATGGCAGCACCAGTGAATATGACCCCTGGTAGCCATATGAATATCGTAAGCAATATCAATCAGTTGTCCAAATTAGGACACGGAAGTACTCCAGAACCTAGCGGACCCTATGGGCTAGGGGACTACGCAGTTTACCATCATCAAAATTTCAATATGCCGTCGCAAATAGCTCAGTTTCCAAACCACCAATATCAACACTTGGGTATCCCACACAATTATTCTAATCATAATCCTGGTTCAGCGAACGAAGGAAGCTTCCAGAACGGTATGCTGCCTATGAATTTGAACATACACAATGAACATAACGCCCCTATGTTTTCTTATGAGAAGAAGTCGAATGAGTCGGTTAGACCCGACGTAATAAAAGATCAAAACATAAAAAAGGTAGCATTAAACATACCTCAAATACCAAATAAGGTGTTACCCAAACAACCTTTATTTGAAAACGATTATTTACATAATGATCCATTCCACAATCCAAATCACAATTTAGATTTAAGTATGAAACCGAATCCTGAGAGAATAGAAATAAGTAGTTCTAGAAGGAAAAAGATTGAAAACACAGTGAAACTTATTGAGAATATTTTGATTAATTCTTCCAATACTAAACCTAAACCACTTGTACAGCAATCTATCAATGATATACCAAATCAAGTAGATTGTAGTAAAAATTTATCAAAATCGTCAACCAATGCTGTACGTACAGAGTCCAATGTACCCAAGAATGATGCATTATCATTAACATTAGTTGATTCAAGACAAGATTCAAACCCAAAACGAGAAAACGTAACAAAAAGTCCAGCAATCAATTATGATGACGTTGGAAAATCAGAAATGGATGAACTATCAGATGTAGAAGACGTGAAACCGATTAATATCACATTGGGAATAGTTCCACAGAATGTTCTGGTAACAACGGAGAAATGTGTTGAAATTAAAATAGAGAATGCAAGTTGGACTGACACGGACTACGCACAACCATTTTTTAGAGATTGTCATTCTTTCCAAAGAGAACATGCTATAGATTTCAGAATTATTGACAGTGATTCCAGCGTTGCTGAAGCTCTTACTGCTATTCAAAATACAGGTAAATTGTGATTTAATAATAGTAAAAACTAGCTACCTGCAAATTCAATTATGTGGAATTTGAAAAGTGCTGCTTTGGTGGGTTCGATTCCCAGACATGGCAAAATTTTAATGACAAGTTGGTAAAGTAAAAAAAAGAGTAACATCTATCTGAGTTTATCTATACAAATAAATAAAATTGGAGTGTCTGTTTGTAATATTAAAATAACCGCTTTTTACTAAATGCATATGTATGTTTACACGGTACATATGCCAAAATAACATTTTTTACAATTTTTATCTGTCTGTCTGTCTGTTTGTTCCGGGTAATCTCTGGAACGGCTTGACCGATTTCGACGGGACTTTCACTGGCAGATAGCTGATTACATAAGGAGTAACTTAGGCTACTTTTTTAGACTAGCTTCGCGCCGCGGCGTTGCCCGCGGTTATAACAACAAACGCGGGTAACACCGCGGGTCTCCTCTAGTTTGTTATAAAAAGTGTCAGTATCAAACATTCCAAACTGTTCTCTATGTGTTATTATTGGTACTCCTATCACGTTGGCGTAAGCGCCTTTGCTGAGCCACTATGTCTCATTAGTAGTCCTGGCTGAAGACTCCACTTGCTGAATTTGCTGCCATGTAGGTGTTGCAGCTAATCATTATTAAGTGATAGGGTTTTTCCGTTTCTGCCTACTCGGAAAAAACTGTGTTAGTCATAAATTGTTTATCCTTGTATGTGCCTTCCGTAGTCATAGTCATCACTGCGGATGTAGACTCAGAACTCTAATCAGCATCTGCTTGTAGTTTGCCTGCTTGAGTGCTACTACCTTACTAAAGTTATTGATGAAAACTTTGGTACTGACCGTCTTCCTGTGAGGATTTTTATCCTGCAGGGGGTGGCAGATAGGGCCCATTTTTGACAAGCATTATGGTATACACGGAACTGTTGTTATGAATTTTTGAAGCTGAAACAAATTAATCGGTCAGAAATTTCAAGCCCAGGGTCAGCCGAAGCCGTATACCTGAAGCATAAAACATTATTGTTTCAGAGGTAAAATCGGATGCCTGCTACGAATGCCCGCACTGTTGTGTTCTCTTCAAAAATCCGAAACGATTCCTCATTCATACAAAGTGGCACACCTTCGGTCTTACAAATGAGAAGAGGACAGAGTTGTTGCGGGAAAGGGAGGAGAAGAGAAATCAACGGAAGGAAGCGAAGATTATTGAGAGGATGAACGCGAAAGAGATAACAGATACGAAGAAAGTGGAAGGGAAGACTTGGCCTTGTAAGGATTGTGATAAAATATTCAGTGCAAAAGGCAGTTTGAAGAATCATCGACAGAGGTGAGTAGTATTTGTTAAATCTATATTTGTATCAAATACTTTTGTGATGGTTATTCGTATCCATATCTGCAGATATTCGTATCCAAATGCACGGGTATTCTTATCCATATCTGTGGATATTCCTATTCATATCCAAATCCGCGGATATCCCTATCCATATCTGTGGTCAATAGTAACGATTACTCGAATAAGGTACTATTTGTCTATTTTACAACGAGATCAAATCCAACCCAACCCTTTGTTATATGGTAACCACTTAAAACGCGCTATGCAAGTCTAAATATTTCAAGTTATTCAGTGCTTAACTTCTACTAGCCAGTTACAGTGACTTGAGAAAAACTTTAAAAAAAAACTTCGTATGCGTATCTGCGGATATACATTACAATGATTCGGCACATCACTAGTATCAATCATCTGTTAATGTATGTGTGTTATAATTAGTATCAATTAAAATAACCAAAGCACAGACAACACAGTCTGAATTAAGCTTAATAAGGTCAAAATATGTGTCTAAGTGGTAACCGAGTCCAGACAACCCCCGCATTAGGAATAAATCCTGTGTCGCGGGGGACTTTACAAACATACATGAAACGTACACAAAGAACACCCAGACGCAGAACAACAATTTGTGGATCACACAAAGTGTCGTCCCATGTGGCGTTTGAATCCACAACACTCGGCGTAGTAGGAAGCGGCGTGGCGACCGTTTAAACCACTACGTATACCATCCGTGCAGTCTATGGATGGGTGACCATTGTTAACACCCCTCCATGCCTTAGAGAGCACGTTAAGCGCTCGGTTCCGGTTATACGAACATCTGTGGCAATCGTTACGGGTTGTTGGAGCCCGAAAAAAGTCCGAGAACAGTCTTTCTATAGAACTATATCGCTTAGTATTTGGGTCGTGGTCTGGTGGCATTCGCTCCACGTAAAAATCTAAGTTAAGCCGTATCATAGTAGACTTAAAGCAGACCCCAACCAAGTTTGGGAAAAGGGGCTCGGAGGAAGAACGTTAAAAAAAAATATGTCCTAATGTTCTTTTTATTCCAAGTCCAACAGAATAATATATACGAGTAATATTGATTTCTCCTGGTACCTACAAAAGTCCCATAATAACAGTTCAACTTATATCAGTCAATGAAATACAACATTCAAAACGGTCGAAATTCGACCGCAGATCTTTAGGTATCATTTTTACGGTCCCGTTGCCAACATGGCAATGGAACTTTTATAGTTTCGTCATGTCCGTTCGTCTGTCTGTCCACACTATATCTCACAGACTATTAGTGCAAGAAACCTGTGATTTCGCATAAACATACATACGTCGAAGTGATAAAATAAAATCTTGAAAATGTTTTTTTTTTTTTATTTATTATAACGTGTGGTGACGGATTAAGAATACAGAGTGTCACCACCCCTATTCATCCCGTGAGCGTAGTAAGAGCCGACTGCAAAAACCCTATACTATCCTATACCCGTCTGGCCAGCGTGGCCGAAACCTCCTTTTTAAGCAGAGGTCTACGATGGCCATAGGCCTCTCCTTCTTCTCTTTGTAATATTTGTTTGTATATCAAATTTGTAATGTAAATAATAGTCCGTATGGTGACGGATTAAGAATACAGAGTGTCACCACCCCTACTGGATGAGTAGGGGTGGTGACACTCTGTATTCTTAATGTCTTGTTGTCGTGAGTGTTGTAAGAGACGACTAAGGGAAAAAACTACGCAGAACACCAGCACTGCAGAGAGAAGGAAAACTTAACACAAACTCTATACCAACACGTCTGGCCACCGTGGTATAGTAGGCCAAAACCTCCTTTCTAAGGAGAGGCTTATGTCCAGCAGTGGACTATTAAAGGCTGTTGATGTGGTGATGATGTGAATGTAAATGATTAATAAAGCCCTTTTCTTCCGAATTCGCTGCAGCTTTGACAATACATATTTCCGAGTTCTGTTTGTTATATTATGTCTCGCAATTCGGTGCGCCTCTTGGCGTAGGCCTCCTCCAACTCTCTCCACTGAGCTCTATCCTCTGCTACTCTAGTCCAATAAGGTGCCAAGGTTAGGCGGATATCGTCTTTCCATCTAGTTTCCCTTTCTTCTACAGTCCTCTCTTGGGTACCATAAGGTGACTTGTTTGCTCCATTTATTTATTGATCTATGCAATTTATTATATCTACAACTTTAGTTTTTCTTCTTATTTCAGAATTTCTAATTTTATCACTAAGTCTGAGTCCCAACATGCTCCTTTCCATTGCCTTTTGTGTACTAACCAGATTTTCTCTTTGCTTGTCTGTTATCGTAATTAATATATATGTTAATGTAAATAATATAAATAAGTAAAAATAATAAAATAAAAAAAGCCTTTATTTACTCTGACCTTGCACAATTTGTATTGCAATAAAATAAAAACAAAACTATACTAACTTTACTTAACTATATTATAATATCTTTACTTATTTCTATTTTCTGTATGTATAAAATTTAACTTTTAATATCAGTTACCAGGTCAGGTTGTCTTGCGACATAGGCCTCCTCAAGTTCCCTCCACATTTGCCTATCCATTGCTGCCCTTCTCCAACCTTTGGGCAGATCATCTTCCCATCTTTTTTTCTGCCTTCCTCTACGTCTTTTGCTGTCCCTCGGGTACCATTCTGTTACTTTTTTGGTCCACTTTCCTGTTGTTGATCTCATCATGTGACCAGTCCATTTCCATTTCAAAGTTCGTGTTTTTACTCTAACATCTGCTACTTTGGATATGTTCCTAATTGTTGTATCTTTCCACTTGTCAAATAACTAACTGACCCGCGCAACTTCGTCTGCGTCTCTCAATAGTAATAATTTTTCTCCGTTTTTGAAACATTCTTCATTGGTGCTCCGCTCCTATTGGTCTTAGCGTGATGATATATAGCCTATATCCTTCCTCGATAAATGGGCTATCTAACACTAAAAGAATTTTTCAAATCGGACCAGTAGTTCCTGAGATTAGCGCGTTCAAACAAACAAACAAACAAACAAACTCTTCAGCTTTATAATATTAGTATAGATATACATTAACATAATTAACAAAATTGTTTTTTATTACAGGTCCCATCCAACTCGAGTGCGTGAGTGCAGGGTCTGTCACAAATCCGTGGTGGGATGGCTGTCTCTTCGGAACCACATGGCTACTCACGCCGTCGAATCAGGTGTTGGTTTCCAGTGCAGCGAGTGTCCGAAACGCTTTAAGTACTCCCATTCTTTGGCAAAACATTCAGACACACATTTGGTAAGTAAAAATAAAAACACAATCTATACAAATAAATAAAATTAGAGTGTCTCTTTGCAATATTAAAATAACCGCTTTTTACTAAACGCATATGTATGTTTACACGGTACATATGCCAAAATAATATTTTTTACAATTTTTGTCTGTCTGTCGGTTTGTTCCGGGTGATCTCTGGAACGGCTGGACCGATTTCGACGGGACTTTCACTGGCAGATAGCTGATGACATAAGGAGTGACTTAGGCTACTTTTTTTAGACTAGCTTCGACCCGCGGCGTTGCCCGCGGTTATAACAACAAACGCGGGTAACACCGCGGGTCTCAGCTAATTTATATCTATAAAAGAAGAAACTGAGAGACTGGTTTACTGATTGATCGATCAACGCACACCTGAAACCGCTGGGTCTAGAAGCATGAAATTTGCACATGTGTTCCCTAGGTAACGTAGGTGTGCAATAAAAAAGGATTTTTGAAAAATTCCATCCCTAAGAGTGCAAAATGGGGGTTCTAAATTAATATGAAACTTCGTTATTTTTGGTAGAAGCGTTTTCAAACTTACAGTAAATACATCTTGTTAAAAAAACGTTGTTAGATACTAATTTTTTAAAACTACACTTTTTTTTAAACTTACCGATTTCAAACTCAGTATAATTATGATGATCCGATGTCGACCATTACGCTGTAAGGTTGGGTGTCGAGAGAGAAATTAAAGATGTTGTTAGATCAACGATCAGATTTATTCTCCAGTAAATACAATAGTGATCACTACTTTTATCTTAAGATAGACATACGTATTATATATGTATTACTACACTACAACGCGGACGAAGTCGTAGGTAAAAACTAGTTAATTATAATAACTTAGCACACACGACTGTCTTAAGTCTGTTTAAAGGGCGGCAAACGCACTTGTGACTGAGGAGTTGTTGGACACTTTTTCAACTTTCCCCCATATGAGATGGTTCTCCTTGCCTCTACACTCCATAGTTTCTAGGTACAAATCCAAAAGATTTGCGTTGGGTTCGATTCGTTGGCGTTACGTAGAGATGTAGCTTCACTCTGCATTCTCTATCGCATATATCATGGAGAGTGCTCCGAGGAATTGTTCGGACTAATACCAGCCGCTAATTTCCGCCATCGTTCCACACGGCAAAATTGTCATCCTTATTACCTGGATAGTTGGCGCTCCACTACTGTGCGCTTTTCGAGACACTTTTTGCCCCGCGCAACCGATCTGTGGAACGGGTTATCGTCTGCGGTATTTCAAGAAAAGAGCGTACTCCTTCCTAAAAGGCCCGCAACGCGTTTGTGACTCCTGAGTTGCAGACGTTCATGGGCGGCGATGGTCACTTTCCATCAGGTGACCCGTCTGCTCGTCTGCCCCCTCTAACATAAAAAAAAATGCCAGCAAACTAACGAAAATATCCATAGTCAATTCCTAAATCATAATGATTAACTTAGCTTATTTTTTATTTTTTTTTTAGGAAAAAGTTCACGGATGTGCTCACTGTCCTAAAAAGTTTGGTTCTCAAGCGCTGCTGAAGATGCATATGAAAACCCACGAACGGCATTCAAGAGGTGCCACATTCAGATGCACGTACTGTGCTAAAGGGTTCTTCGAATCGTACAGTCTCCAAGTAAGTCGTTCAATCACCACACATGTTATATTACAAGATGACTAAATGGATGGTATAGCGGTTTAAGCGCTCACTTCCCTACTGCGCTGAGTGTTGATGGTTCGATCCTCACACAGATAGATAATACGAGACTTTATTTGTACACCAGGGTTTAACAGACATTATAAAGTAATTAAACTAACAACGTACAAAGGGTGGCCTTATCGCTGAGAGCAATTTCTTCCAGGCAATCTTTGGATGGAGTAGATTCATTTTGAACTAGTGATAGGTATATAGAAGTTCGAGTAATAAATAAGGTCCTAACCTATTAAATATTGATCATACATAAATCCTACTAATTTATATTAACACATGAATACTATACATACACACAGTAATATGTGTGTATATATATATTATATATACGTGAATACATACACTAATTTTCAACTATGAGAGTCAAATAATGCTCATACAGCATACAGCTCACATGGGACAACACTTTGTCATCATCATCAACAGCCTTTAATAGTCCACTGCTGGACACAGGCCTCTCTTCACAAAGAAGGTTTTGGCCTACTATACCACCCTAGCCAGCTGGGTTGGTAAAAGGGTTTGTTCAAGTTTTCCTTCTCTTTGCAGTGCTGTTGTCCTGCGTAGTTTGCTCCCTTAGTCGGCTCTTACGACACTCATAGGATGACTGCTGGTGGTGACGCTCCGTATTCTTAATCCTTCACCACGCGGACAACACTTTGTGTGATCCACAAATTATTCTTCTAAGACTGGGTGTTCTTTGTGTCCGAAGACCCCCGCGACACAGGATATATTCCTAGCGCGAGAGTTGTCTTAAAAAAAGGTGTCTGTTACACGTTCAAGCCTAAATTACTCAACTAATCATATTGAGTTTTTACACACACATTGTTAGTAGTCAAAAGGATATAAGGTATTGTTTTTCTATAACGGCTGTGTGTTATAACTGACACGTGAAGCATATCCGAAGTTGGAAAAATACACTCGGCTACGGGCAGTCTAAATTGGTGCTGGTGATGACTGAGGTTTTACGATAATTCACCTGCAGACTGATGAGTCTTAGCAAACTAGCCATCCGAATAGTTGTAGGAACTATGACACCTGGGCCCAGAACTGACAGCTATTCACTTTTCATGAGACGGACAGCATCTTTGTAGCTCTGGTCTCCAATGAGAAACAGTGGCCTAAGTGATTCATTCCCGTACATTCTCGTAGGTGCAATTTGATCGAAATGGTGGAAAAATCGTTAATAATTGATTTATCTCAGGTACCGATTTATAATGGTAATGACAAAAACAAAGAATTTTACTTAAGATTAAATATTATTAGATTATTGTACTCTTAAGTGAAAGTTATTTTTAACTTGCACAGTCGGCTGCTGACAATGACGTGCTGGCAATAAAGATACATTTTTTTATGACAACTACCCCACTAAGAAATAAATCCTGGGGACTTTACAAACATTCATGAAACGGACACAAAGATCACCCAGACACCCAGAAATCGACAATTTGTGGATCAAACAAAGTATTGTCCCATGTGAGGATCGAACCCACAACACTCAGGGCAGTAGTAAGCGGCGAGGCCACCGCTCAAATCGGTACGCCATCCGTGCAGTCAAATTAATATATATTTGCAAAAAGAGAAAATGTATAGTAAGAATACATTGCCTCTTTTATACCAGGTTCGTAAAACAGTTTATAATTTAAAATTTTGGTAACAGGTACACGAAAGAACACATAGAAACGAGAGACCATTTCTTTGCGAGATATGCAACACAAGCTACGGAACTAATTCGAGTCTCAAAAGGCATTTGAAAGTTGTAAGTACATATTATTATTTGAATTTTTCCTTCTAAATTTATTATTCCTTGGCGTGCATGGTCCTTCCAGTCGGCTCTAAGGACCATGTGCTCAAAGAAACTATAATATAAACTTTGGCTTGAAACAAATTTAAAGCTAGGCTTCAGCAGTTGAAACTATTGCATAATGTAAAGACAGACTAAAATTGTAACTTTCTAATTAACATTAATCCGGTTGTGAGTTTGTTTTTTAGGCTTTCACGCCTACATTACTAAAACAATAACTAGGGGGACTATTTGTAATTCCTATTTCTAATAGTAAATGATTTAATAAAATGTTCATTATACAACTTTTAACTATCACGTTCCGATATATAATAATTGTGTTTATTTGAATTTACGCGCTCACAATGGGTACTAAGTCACCCTGTGACCACGGCCAGTGCAACTTGGTCGAAACGTCAAGCACTTCAAAGCTGTGTACCTAATTCATATCGTGAACGCGTTCACATCAACAGCCTTTAACAGTCCACTGCTAGATATAGGCCTCTCCTTAGAAAGGTTTTGGCCTACTATACCACGCTGGCCAGACGGGTTGGTATAGGGTTTGTGTCAAGTGTTTCCTTCTCTTTGCAATGCTGTTGTCCTGCGTAGTTTGCTTCCTTAGTCGTCTCTTACGACACCCACGGGATGGATAGGGGTGGTGACACTCAGGCAGTATGATATATTATCATCTAACGTTATTCTTTCCAGTCTCACAGCACTTCAAAGCCCTTTGAGTGTTCTATATGTCATCGTTCGTTCTCTACTGAGCCTATAAGGGATCGTCATGAAGAGAGGGTACACAGCAAACCTGAGGATTTCAAGTTCCCCTGCAAACAATGTGATTGCAAGTAAGTACAGTTAAAGTTGGGTTAAGCAGACAGTGCTGTAGGCAGAGCAGGTTCTAATACTTACTATGTATATTCCATTCGCATTAAGAAAATAGTGACGCATAGATCTGACCAATCAGGTGCCGAGCTTTCGTACAAAACTTTTTTGGAAAATGATTGGTCAGGAGCCGAGGCTTGATCGATGCGTCTAATTTGGTCTGATATAATATGTATGTATTTGAAAAAAAATAGTATATAATATGTATTTATATCAGTCTAGTAAGTTGTAGCTTGTACTGTAAGCTCTGCTTAGTTTGGGACTAGATGGCGTTATGTGAATGTAGTGGAATATTATTATTAATATTATTTGTCCTGGATGGAAATCGAACCCACGCCCTCCGGCTTAGCAGTTAGGGTCACTAGCCACTAGACCAACACTCCTGTTTCTGTAAAACCAATATTGATTTTCTCTTTTCTTTTTTAGGTATTTAAAACTAAAGGACTTGAAGAAACATATCTCAAAAGCTCACCCCAAAAATAAGAGAAGGAAACGTCCAAAAAGCGAGACAGAACCCGAAGAAGACTCAGAATAGACCATGTGTCTATGTTATAAGGTACAAAATTGTATGTTTCGGCACAAAATAAAATATGTATGATAAATTTTACTCGAATAGAGTGCTGCTTTTGCACTGATTTTAATAAAATATTACTTGCTTAAATGATTTATATGTCTAGATGGAGTGACGTAACAAATGGGTCATAGTGACATTAACATAACAGCGAAAAATAACTTAGTGGCCAACCGTTGGACACTATTTTTTTGTACGCTTTCACAGCTTATCTAGACATATCAATGATCTAACTAACCCCTAGTTATAAATATTTTAGTAATTAAGGATTAATGTTTTATAGAAACTATAGATTTCTGCGTTTAATAGAAAATGTTCTGGAAATCTGTTAACCCTAAAAAAGTTTATTATTAAAGACAAAACTAACTTCAGTACCAATAGTATGTACCGGAGTGGGCGTGGCTTAAAACCAATATAAACAGTACTGACAACTGGCCTTCTAATATAAGGAAAATAATGTCATAGAAATCCGATTCTTCTTATTCCAAATCTTTTGCCACGTGTGTTGTTGTTTAGAAACTATAAATGACCTTCCGTAACTGAATAAATAAATAATTTTAAACTTGTTTCCTGATAGTAGCTACAACGATGCGATCTTGACCTTGACCCAAACGTGTCTAAATTCCGTGTCATTGGTTGATATTCTAAAAATTTATTATGTATTTAGCAATGCGGGCCCTAACTGCTTGCAGCTATAGCTGCTTTTTGTTGTATATAACAAGACTAGAAATGCTAAATCTAGAAAAATATTTAAAAATAGCCGTGGAACTTGTGCGACATATTGCGTAAATACTGAGTAATAATAATTTTAAACTTATTTCCTGGTATTACCCACGGCGATGCTATCATAAATTTGACCTTAAGCAAATCCTACTGAAATTTTTAGCCCAAAATCGCATATTCGCAAAGGTATTTTAATTAAAACGTGTTTCTTAATAGTAGCTACGATTACAAAACAGGGTCAAGGTCACGATTTGAAGGTCACCTTAAATAAATCGCGTACAAATATAACTGGCGTTGATAAGTGTGAAGAGTTGGTATTCCAATCGAGGTCCTGATATTGTAGATGTTGGCTTTAAGAAATGTTATGAAACAAACATAGACTAAAAAATATAGATATTACAGTCAAAACCCTTAACAGTGTTTTTTACCGATAAAATCAGTCAAAAGTAACTTTGCCTGTAACATCATACTGTTAAGCCGTGATCTATCCTAAATGATTCACCAAAAATAGGGGGGATCTGAAGGCCAATTCTCATGATAAAAGTTCGGTCTTAATTCAGTTCCGATCAACATTCGATCGCACAACTATCATAAAAGGTATTTACGGTATCTGACGCGGCATTCTAAAGTACTATTGCCCAATGCCGGGTAAAAAAACTTTCTAATTTTGACTGTAATCTTTACATAATTAATTATAAGAATTTAAATTCATTTTTTTATTAGTTTGTACAAGTAATATCGTTTATGTGTCTTAATTTTGTGTTTTATAAAAGTATTAAATATCAATTTATTCCAAAACAATTCTTGTAATAATTTTGGATAAACTTTCGCCTTCCAAGTTATCACTATCACAAGGAAATAAATCAATATTTTTTTCTGGAATGGGGTGGTCACGGGTATACGGGACACTTGAAGGTAAGTGACTACCTTCGTCCATGGACTCCTACAGCTCAAAATACCACTTTTGTACCCCCCCCCCCCCTCAATCAGAGGGGGTGGTGGTTTCTGTGAGGTCATGGTATCCAGTCCGGTCAAGGTGTAACTACGAGAGTTCTCATCTCATCACCTCACTGGTGAAGATTATAAAACTCTCGTAGTTACACTCATAGTAGGGTAGATTCTTGGGTTTAAATTAAATTATTTCACCTAAATGATTATATGTAACATCTGACGATTGACTGCACGGATGGTGTAGTGGTTTAAGCGGTTACCTCGCCGCTTTCTACTGCGCTGAGCGTTGTGGGATCGATCCCCACATGGGACAACACTTTGTGTGATCCACAAATTGTTGCTCTGAGTCTACCCCCATACTTTGAGTCCGTTTACTGTATGTTTGTAAAGTCCCCTGCGACACAGGATATATCCCTAGTGCGGGAGATGTCTTTAAAAGAAGTAAAAGTATTAAAAGAGTCAACCACAGAGCTCGACTAGAAAGAGAAAGAGTACACTATCTATTATCCATCTCTCTCGTTGCCTATAATGCAAGATTGGGGGATAACCTCACACACGGCTGTCTGATCCCAAACTAGGCAAAGCCTGTACTATGGTAACCAGGCTGCTGATAAACATATTTAAATATTTCCAAATACATACATATTATAGATAAATTACACCCAGTCCCAGGTCGAATGATCGTGCTTATCACACAATTATTTGTCCTGGGTGGGAATCAAACCCACGACGTCCGGCTAAGCAGTCAGGGTAACCAACAACTAGACCAACAGGCCCGTCAATCTCTATGATATTTAATACAAAAATGTATCGCGTGTATCGTTTTGACGTTTAATAAGAAGACCGATTTGACATTTATCTACCAAATTATTCATTTCGCGTCTTTTTATTTTATTTAAAAAAAAAGCTTAAAATAATTTGTAGTTAAAATAGTGTTTTTAATACAAATTGTAAATACATTATTATGTAATAGTATTGTTTATATTTGTAAGTTTCAAAAGATATTTGTAATATAGTAAAATATACAGTAAGGAATAGTTCAAATAAGAAGAATATTATAGTAAATTTCTTTATTAATATAATTAAACTAAATAGTTTGTTTTTTTTTTGTTCAACCTGATATTTCTGCAACTACACAGTAAACTGGTGTCAAACAATTTTTTCTTTACTTTCACCGACTGAGTGAGGTTAACAAACCTCCCCTCCCTCTGACGGACGGTAGACGCACTTGCGTGCATGGGCGGCACAAAGGACCTCGTTTTGCCCCTATACTATTAAAAAAAGAGATATTCATCAGGAGTTGTTTTTGAAGTATCATGTATGTCGCTAACAGTTTTTTTTATGGAATAGCGGGCAAACGAGCAGACCGGGTCACCTGATGGAAAGCGACTACCACTGCCCATGAACGCCTGCAACTCAGGAGTCACAAGCGCGTTGCCAGCCTTTGAGAGGAAAGAGTATGCTCTTTTCTTGAAGTTTTGAAGGTCGTATCGTTCCGGAAATACCGCGGCCGATAACATAGAAGATTACAAAGTAAAATATTATGTGTATAAAGCGGTTTCCTCACTATCCGCGCGCTCGGTGAGACGTACGCGTAGACGTACGCAAATATAGAGATGCGCGTGCGACTGTTAAGTATGCTACGTGACCAATTTTTGACTCCCCTCTGCCGTTTGGTGACCACGTAATATATGCCAAGACCCGTTTCCCTTCTTTAGTTTTCACATATATTAATTCATAAACATGGTTTTAAAACATTTTTTGCAAGCAGAAAGTATTTCTTACAGAGCTTGCCGTATTTGAAAATAGTTCGAAAAGGCACGAAATTTCCACAGAGAATATTGACTACGTGCCGAAAACCAAAGCCCTCCCGCCGCCCATGTGACCATGAAATGGTATTTTAAGGACCGGACCCCCCCTGTCACGTAGTATGGGATGATGATGATCAAAGAAAAATGTTGCAAAATCGGGGCAAAGTGAGCTAATTTGCTCGTTTGACCTCTAGGTATACCTAACTAATAAGACGCCAGAATAATAGAAATTAATCTCAAAGAAAAACTTTATTAAGATAACATTTAGGTATAATTTTATTTACTTTATAAATCCAAATCATTTAAGAAAACTTAGTTTAAATATTTACTTTATTCAAATATACGGTTACGGTACACTCGTATTTCTAGGATACCAGACTAATGTCAAGCCCAACAAGGGTCCTTCAAAGGGTGAATCGACCTGTCGCATTGGTGTCCAACCAATTGTTTAAAAAAAGTTTGGGTTGGCTTGACTCCTTGATTAAGGACCCTTGGGGCGCTAAGAACAACTGTATTACTTTAGTATTTCAAGTTGTTTATCAAATTTTTATTGCTAAGCTAATATGTCAAGTTGTAAGTTTGGGTGTGCAGTTTTTATTTAAGCTATCATCATAAAACAATTGTTGTTTTATTTTAAGAACATATCGTTTATCTGATTAGTGTAAATATAAAACCATAGATTATGTAAATAAGTTGAATTTTATTGAATAAATTAATATGTCGAGTCCATTGTTTTTTTAACCGAACTTATAATATTAAAAAAAAAGATTGTGAATATATTTTTTTTATTTCGTCAGGTATATTACTTGTCCGTTGCGACGCTGTGGCAGCGCTGTACGTAACGCAGTTCCTGGATCCCTTCTATTACAGGCGCAGTGTGGTCTTAGTCAGTCCGATGCCGACACACTACCCCGCCGAAAAACCCGGGTGGGGTTCCCACATGTAAAAAAAAGAGCTGTACGTAACGCTGTTTCCTTAGAGAATAGCGCTGCAACAGTCGATCGTCGATTTAAGATACTTGCTGTACCTTTCCACGCTTCCCTGTCGCACATTTTGGTTGCAATTATGAGAAAAAGGGCTGTTCCACTAGTCCCTACTAGCTGTCCCTCCTGGTGGGGACAAGTTAAGTAATACGTTAATATTTTATTAGTAGGGGATAAGTGGCAATGAAATTTCTCGCCAACCAGTGACGGTGTGGTAGGGAAGAGTGGAAAAAAAAGTCCACTTGTGACAGCTGGTAGGGACTAGTGGAACAGCCCGAAAAAAAATAGATAAAACAATCTTTGAAGCGGGTTATGTATATTGTGACAAAATTTGAGCTCAATCGGTGCAGAATTCTGAGTTTTTGAAGAGTTCACAAACCAACTTACCATTTTTATCCAGGATATATCGGGACGTTGTAACGATTTCGGAAATAGTGTATTCAGACCACCATCCCGAGTCGAAAAACATTAGAATTTTGTGCCAGAAAATTAAACG